GTCACAGTGCTAAATCTGAGCTCTCTACTACAGACTACCTCAAATTAGAGTAACATGAGCTTTTTTGGTTCTTAATCTGGTCAAAATTTTGTACAGTCAAAAATCTGAATCTTGGGGCCAAAAGAGATCATAGCTCTGCTCTTTGACATTTATTGAGGCATATTCATTTTTCAGCTACGCATTGTTTCATGGCTCATGTTGTGAGGTCGGACAAGCTTTACGAAAAAAAAAATCCCATTCAGTCTAATGAGAAACTGTAGAACAGACTCTCAATATCACAATACCTACATTTAGAGTCAGTTATTCATTCAGCCTAATGAGAAACTGTACTGAGCCCACTTGCCGCATGGATTGACAGCACTTGGGCGGACCGCTCCTGGTTGCTATGTGGGCCACATATGTACCAGATTAGGGCCACAAGCCAGCCAAAAGTCAACACAACTGGGCTTAATCTGGGCTAGAAGCTGACCACAAGATGTGGGCCATATCTGGAACAGATCCACGCCAGACTCATTTCAGATGGCAAAATTATTCATTGATATGTACACTGACAGGCTGAAGTTAAAGAGAAACGTTTTATAGTCAAATAATGGAAAAAAATGTTAAAGCTCACATATTACATACCAACTTATTCGTCTTTATTCAGCAGGACTTTTAGCAAGATTGGAGGAAAAAGTGCTTCCAGACAAAGAGTAGTTAAAACAGATATTTTATTTAAGCCTAAGCAGATGAGTCTGTATTACTACAGAATGAAAAATAAATAGTGAGGTACACTTATGTACTAAAAATGTATTAAAAATACTCTTTTTTTACACTATTTAAAAACTGCCTTTACACTGTGTAACAATTTGTGATAAATGGACCAATGGTCCAAATTACTGTACATTAAGTTTGCATACAGCATTAAAATTAAACATTTTGCTTCTCCAATAAAGTTGCCATTTCTGCATCTAACATGCATGTAAACAAACAAACGACTTAACACAGCAAGAAATAAAATGTCAGCTGCCTAAGCATGACATAGCTGTTTGTACTGAAAAAAATCTTTTTAATGTAATACCTGATTTATAATATTGGAAATATACATTTCTAAGTTGTAATTTTGTAAGTTAATCATTTTGCTCAAATGTGTTTCCAAAGGTAATTATATAGCAATTTTAAACGCAGTTATCAAAGGTCTTCTCTAGAGCTTTTGTGATTACTCTGATCTCAACTGCAACTGTCCAAATCTGGACAAAATAAAACAGTCTTATGCAAATCAGATGAAATAAATTATATTAAATTAGTCAAATTTGGCTGGAATACAATCAGAGAACTAACAGTGATACCTTCTGTCCTTCTGCTTTCCTCCTAAGGTCTATACATATACTAAGGTCTTATAGTGGTCAACTTAATAAGGTTTTTATATGCTCCTCAGAAAAGATCAAGTACTACTGTCAGGACTAGAGACACAGCCCTTCACACATCAAGTCACACAGCAGTAGCGCTGTACTGTTACTCTGATTAAACAAATCAATAATAAGCGCTTACTGATTTTAACTGAGCTCTGAATGAGCCTGCACACTGACTCTGAAAAAAGTGCTTCATCCATCAGTAAAGGAAGGAAACATTGTGCATCATTTATAGAGGATAAAAGCCGATGTGGGCAATTCATATATTCAAATGAACAACCGTAAAAACAAACTACAAAAGAAAACTCAGTGCAACACAGGTAATTATGCTGTACCAGAATTGTATGTTTTGTGAATATACCAGAATGCCGTACCTGGGGGGCTGGGGTGCAGTGTACAAGAAAACAAGAAAGTGATGATGATGATGATTAGTGAATTATTTCTGACAATGCAGCGTTGTTCCTTTATTGGACACAATAATTTCTTTTATTTCCATAATTTTTTAGAGTAGATGTGAGTAGATCTTGTGTGTCATCTATTTCTGGGCATTTGGTAGACACCTGCACCCTGCTATCATGGTCATCCTTTTTATTTGACGGCTGCACTGCTGGGCTAAGTTTAGTTCTAGCTCCTTGAGGCACTTCACCCAGACAGTTGATCACTCCACTTTGCACCAGTGTCTGGTTTGCCCCTTTCTCTTCACTCTCCGCTGGTGGAGGGTTTGCGCCTTTCTCTTCACTCTGCGCTGGTGGATAGTTTGCGCCATTCTCTTCGCTCTCCGCTGGTGGAGGGTTTGCGTCATTCTTTTCGCTCTGCGCTGGTGGATGGTTTGCGTCATTCTCTTCACTCTCCGCTGGTGGATGGTTTGCGCCATTCTCTTCAGTCTGCGCTGGTGGATGGTTTGCGTCATTCTCTTCACTCTCCGCTGGTGGATGGTTTGCACCATTCTCTTCGCTCTCCGCTGGTGGCTGGTTTGCGCCATTCTCTTCAGTCTGCGCTGGTGGATGGTTTGCGTCATTCTCTTCACTCTCCGCTGGTGGATGGTTTGCGTCATTCTCTTCACTCTCCGCTGGTGGAGGGTTTGCGCCATTTTCTTCACTCTCTGCTGGTGGAGGGTTTGCGCCATTTTCTTCACTCTCTGCTGGTGGAGGGTTTGCCCCTTTCTCTTCACTCTGCGCTGGTGGAGGGTTTGCGTCATTCTCTTCACTCTGCGCTGGTGGAGGGTTTGCGCCATTCTCTTCACTCTCCGCTGGTGGAGGGTTTGCGTCATTCTTTTCAGTCTGCGCTGGTGGATGGTTTGCGCTATTCTCTTCACTCTGCGCTGGTGGAGGGTTTGCGCCATTCTCCACTCTCTGGTGGATGTTTTGCGTCATTCTCTTCACTCTGCGCTTGTGAATGGTTTGCTCCATTCTCTTCACTCTGCGCTGGTGGAGGATTTGCGCCATTCTCTTCACTCTGCGCTGGTGGAGGATTTGCGCCATTCTCTTCACTCTGCGCTTGTGGATGGTTTGTCCCTTTCTCTTCACTCTGCGCTTGTGAATGGTTTGCTCCATTCTCTTCAGTCTCCGCTGGTGGAGGATTTGCGCCATTCTCTTCACTCTTCGCTGGTGGAGGGTTTGCGTCATTCTTTTCAGTCTGCGCTGGTGGATGGTTTGCCCCTTTCTCTTCACTCTGCGCTGGTGGATGGTTTGCGCCATTCTCTTCACTCTCCGCTGGTGGAGGGTTTGCGTCATTCTCTTCACTCTCTGGTGGATGGTTTGCGTCATTCTTTTCAGTCTGCGCTGGTGGAGGATTTGCGCCATTCTCTTCACTCTGCGCTCGTGGATGGTTTGCCCCTTTCTCTTCACTCTCCGCTGGTGGAGGGTTTGCGCCATTCTTTTCAGTCTGCGCTGGTGGAGGGTTTGCGCCATTCTCTTCACTCTGCGCTGGTGGATGGTTTGCGCCATTCTCTTCACTCTCCGCTGGTGGATGGTTTGCGCCATTCTCTTCAGTCTGCGCTGGTGGATGGTTTGCGCCATTCTCTTCACTCTCCGCTGGTGGAGGGTTTGCGTCATTCTCTTCACTCTCCGCTGGTGGAGGGTTTGCGCCATTCTTTTCAGTCTGCGCTGGTGGAGGGTTTGCTTCATTCTCTTCACTCTGCGCTGGTGGAGGGTTTGCGTCATTCTCTTCACTCTCCGCTGGTGGAGGGTTTGCGCCTTTCTCTTCACTCTCTGGTGGATGGTTTTCGTCATTCTCTTCACTCTCCGCTGGTGGAGGGTTTGCGCCATTCTTTTCAGTCTGCGCTGGTGGATGGTTTGCCCCTTTCTCTTCACTCTGCGCTGGTGGATGGTTTGCGTCATTCTCTTCACTCTCCGCTGGTGGAGGGTTTGCATCATTCTCTTCACTCTCCGCTGGTGGAGGGTTTGTGTCATTCTCTTCACTCTGCGCTGGTGGAGGGTTTGCGCCATTCTCTTCACTCTCCGCTGGTGGAGGGTTTGCCCCTTTCTCTTCACTCTCTGGTGGATGGTTTGCGCCATTCTTTTCAGTCTGCGCTGGTGGAGGATTTGCGCCATTCTCTTCACTCTGCGCTGGTGGATGGTTTGCGCCATTCTCTTCACTCTCCGCTGGTGGAGGGTTTGCGTCATTCTCTTCACTCTCCGCTGGTGGAGGGTTTGCGTCATTCTCTTCACTCTCCGCTGGTGGATGGTTTGCGTCATTCTCTTCACTCTCCGCTGGTGGAGGGTTTGCGCCATTCTCTTCACTCTCTGGTGGAGGGTTTGCGCCATTCTCTTCACTCTCCGCGGGTGGAGGGTTTGCGCCATTCTCTTCACTCTGCGCTGGTGGATGGTTTGCGCCATTCTCTTCACTCTCCGCTGGTGGAGGGTTTGCGCCATTCTTTTCAGTCTGCGCTGGTGGAGGGTTTGCGCCATTCTCTTCACTCTGCGCTGGTGGAGGGTTTGCGTCATTCTCTTCACTCTCCGCTGGTGGAGGGTTTGCGCCATTCTCTTCACTCTCCGCTGGTGGATGGTTTGCGCCATTCTCTTCAGTCTGCGCTGGTGGAGCGTTTGCGCCATTCTTTTCACTCTGCGCTGGTGGATGGTTTGCGCCATTCTTTTCAGTCTGCGCTGGTGGATGGTTTGCGCCATTCTCTTCACTCTGCGCTGGTGGATGGTTTGCGCCATTCTCTTCACTCTCCGCTGGTGGAGGGTTTGCGTCATTCTCTTCACTCTCCGCTGGTGGAGGGTTTGTGTCATTCCCTTCACTCTCCGCTGTTGGATGGTTTGCGTCTTTCTCTTCACTCTCCGCTGGTGGAGGGTTTGCCCCTTTCTCTTCACTCTCTGGTGGATGGTTTGCGCCATTCTTTTCAGTCTGCGCTGGTGGAGGATTTGCGCCATTCTCTTCACTCTGCGCTGGTGGATGGTTTGCGCCATTCTCTTCACTCTCCGCTGGTGGAGGGTTTGCGCCATTCTTTTCAGTCTGCGCCGGTGGAGGGTTTGCGCCATTCTCTTCACTCTGCGCTGGTGGAGGGTTTGCGTCATTCTCTTCACTCTCCGCTGGTGGAGGTTTTGCGCCATTCTCTTCACTCTCCGCTGGTGGATGGTTTGCGCCATTCTCTTCAGTCTGCGCTGGTGGAGCGTTTGCGTCATTCTTTTCAGTCTGCGCTGGTGGATGGTTTCCGCCATTCTCTTCACTCTGCGCTGGTGGATGGTTTCCGCCATTCTCTTCACTCTGCGCTGGTGGCTGGTTTGCACCATTCTCTTCACTCTCTGTCATGTGCTTGCCACCTTTACCTTCTCCACCTGTTTCCTTATCTGTCTTTTCAGTCTCTGTTTCACCTGTTGTTTCTGACTTTTTATCAGTACGCCCGAACCAAGAAAATACTCCTTTAAAAAAATGTTCACTGATGAGTGTTCAATTCTGAAAGGAAAAAATGAACAAAAAATTATTCCAAATATTATTTACCAAACATCTCACTGTTTTTGTGTGTGGCACTGACACAGGTTTAGAACTGTATGGTAATAAATAATCCATACCTTCTATGAAGTGTATACTTTCAAAATTCTGAGATATATTAACAGCTTTACAGTAATGTTCACATACATAATATGACCTTTTCAGCAAGCAATATCCTACATATTAAAAATAAATATATATATAATGCAAATCAGCAATTTCTAATAGAGTCGTTCTCATTGTTTAACCATGTGGTTAAATCATACATACCATTATCATACCCATCATTTTTTCACTGCATCTCCATTTCAAGTTGTTTGAGCCTTTACATAAGATGACATTTTTCATATGTTTGATTGTTTTACTTTTCCTGACAAGCCAGAGCTCCATATCATGTAATGCTTATACAAAAGGTAATTTACTTAACTGCCTTTCAAAAAACTCATGGACTGGAAGACAACTATGTTTTAGGCAAAATAATCTTTTGCTGTTTAGGTTAGTACAAGAAAGAGTTAAAATTAGTAGACCAATTAGGTTACATTCAGTTGATTATTTTGCAAATTATTGGCAAAAGTCACTTGACATTTTCAGCTGATTTAAACTGCAACATAAACCCAGAGCAGGTTAGAAAACTAAATTAATATGATTGAGTTGATCAGATCCTGAGTTAAACCCAAAGTTATTCACCTCTGATCTTTTTCTGTCTATCTGTGTATACTTACAGTATCTTACATCCTGAATCCTTCAATACTTCAAGGTCATTCACTGAATTTCCTATTTTGTTGTCATGCAGATCCAGCTCTTTCAGGTGTGAAGGGTTTGATTTTAGAGCTTCAGCCAGAGCAGCACAGCCTTCCTCTTTTATACCACAGTTCTTTAACCTACATATGAAGAGAAACAGTTCATTACAAACATTTAAAAATAGGTTTAGTGAAAACGTCTCACTTGCTTTGACGCATGAAAGCTCAGTTTTGTTTCTAAATATGTTACATGCTACCTCAGTTCAACTAGAAATGTAATCAAAACTGTGTAGTGTGTATAATACTGCACATTATATATATCCAGGATACCTAATATAATGAAGGGAGTACTTAACATTAAATTGAAAATTAGGGGTGTAAATCAGTGCTTCATGATGCATATACATAAAGGTGGCAATTCAACTGCTTCAGTTCTGGAATCTAATAATCAACTATAATAATGGCCTAAATAAAATTCTGAGGCTGTTTTTACATGTAATCATCCACTAGATCTCTATCCCTTACCTAATTTTCCATGATTCAGTTAACTGACAGACAGAGCAGTACTGTCTATACTCTAATACTGTGTAAATATCTTCTCAAGACACATCTGTTTATCCAGTATATCCTAAAAATAATTTCATTACTGATTCATAACAAAAGAATCAAAAATGATCAGAAAGGTACTGAATCATTGTGAAATCTGATATCTTGTGATGCACTGAATTGTTTCCTATAGAACTGTAATTGCATCAAATCATTGAGTCCACAGATCTACACCCTTAGTGAAAAGCTAACGTGCTGAATAAAATGCTGAGTTTTTACTCACTTCAGTTTCTCCAGTTTACAGTGAGGATTCTTCAATAGATTGCAGAGCTCTTTCACTCCTGACTCCTCTAGTTTATTCTTGTTCAGATCCAGCTCTCTCAGGTGTGAGGGGTTTACAGTCAGAGCAGAAATCAGATCAGCACAGCCTTCACCTTTAACACTGCCTGATTTATACAGCCTGCAGAGGGAGAGAGAGAGAAGGAGTTAGAAGAATTCTTTTGTTGTAAGTTGTTATTCATATTTAAACAGTATGAATGCTGAAGGGTTCTTATAAGAAGCCACCTCCATTGGAGCCACCTCCGACCCATGACTTTACAGTTGGTGGCTCAGCCCTCGTACTACTAGGCTACTACTTGCTAAATCATTGTTGCTTTTAAATGGGATGCCAAGTAGGTAACAAGGTAAAATAACAGGTACTTAAAGCATATGTCAGCCAAAATCATCCATAATACATTTCTGTCAACCTGCTCAAACCACATTCAGTTCTTAAGTGAAATCATGCAGACTAACCAAAGTGATTTAGGACATGTGATACTATGTGACAACTTTCTGTGAACTATAAAAATGATGGGCCAATGTCCTAAGCCTTCTGCACCAGTTTGACACACAATATAAACGCAATCTACCTGCATGTAATGTAAGAAAGACAAGACACAAGACAAGACACACAAGCGTGAACACACAGTTATTGCATTGTTGCATATAAAAACGCAAAATGTGCTTCTCTCCGTCTTGCATATGCATTTGAGGGAGGGCTGAACAAAACAGAGGAGGTTCGAACAGAAAATGGCTGGAGATGTACAGCTGACTACAAATACCACTTGACTAACAAAATTTTGAGCAGCTTGCAACAGCCAGTTTTGCAACAGCCACCTTTTCTGAATCATTCAGCTGAAAGTGTAATTAACTACATAAAATACCTTTTATCAAATTGAATAGGATTAGAGAAAATAAACAATGTCAGATACTGGCAACCTGAAAACAAAATAGACCAGCAAATAATGGCATGATAAAAAGATGTGAATTTTTAAGTGTGTGGAATATGGACAGTTCTTAGTGTTTATTAGTGATCTCTCACATGCAACCTGTGCTTCACAAACTCATTTTTGTAGCTGGAGTAGAGCTTCATTTATTAACACTGCTCTTTCTTCATGACCAAACGTCTCATGTTTGTTGACCACCTATTTTTTATTTCACAGCACATTTTAAACTTTATGCCTTTGGAGCACACAATTAGTGGAGCAGAACTTGATGTAGCTAAAGATAGTACTGGATTTGAGAATATTGCTCTATAGACCTTCTAGCCAGTGTATTTCAGAATCTCGCAACAAAAACTTACATTTTGACTGCACATTTTGATACAAATGTCAGCTGCCTATTTAATGACGGTAATGTAAAAACATAACAGAACTGTAGCCACAGTAAATGTTCTATATAATGTATAAGAAATTTATTATACGCTTATTATTAGTATATACAATTAAACCTATTTAGAGATGTTGTTGCTGTTGTTACATTATAGAACACTTTGTTGTGAGAGGTTTATTCAGGTTGCAAAATCAGACATAATAAATGGTCTCACAGTAAGCAAATGTAACCTAGAAGCCCACAGGGTTAGTAGACTGACTTAACGACAGAATTACACCCATGGGCTTCAAGTTATTCCGATGATATAGTCCTATTTTTTACTTTCTGTAAATGTTTTTATCTATGCAAACCTTGCTGTTTTACTTTTTGTTTAATTGTTTAATTAAGGATGATATTATATTGAACATCAGCATAGTATTTATGAAAAAGAGAAATTGAGATATTAAATGTGTATCACAAAATACATGTATATACTCTGTTTTACTGATTTAAAACCTTCTCTTAGTTTTGTTTTAATTTCTGTATGTAGGCGTTGGCCTCATTTGCATGCCTGGGTCAGTGTCAAAATTTGTGTAAATTTAGTTTTTTTTGTTTTTTAGCAGTAGTGTTGTATTCACTCATCGCAACAGGAAGTACCTGTGTAGCTGTACCCACGCCTGTACCCATGTACTCTTGCCTCCACCGCTCCTGTCTTCCTGTTACTTCCTTCGGCCTCTTTTAGAGTTACTGACTACTTGCTGAACTTTTTAGTCCGTCCTGCTTTTAGAACCCCCTCACTCATCCACTGCTGTTACTGCAGTCTATCTTTTACTGAGGACTGAGATTATCACCATATGGTCAATATTATGTCTTACACTTCCACATGATATAATGATGAATACGTATCAAAACACTGCTTAAGAGGTGAAGTTACATAAGCCTGAGACTGTTACACATAACAGCTGTAAAGATTAACAATAGAATTAGATTGATCACAACACTCTTTAGGGTCACTTATTGTAATTGGATTAGTAAAATTAAAAATCCTAATTGAACCATGATTGCAGTGTCAGTAAGATTTCCACTGGGAAACAACTATGGTTATGTAACTCAGTCTAAGGCCAGTGTGCAGGTAGAAAATCAGTCCAAACATAGTTAATGGATCCAACGTCTTACGTAAGTTTCTCCAGTCTGTAGTGTGGATCCTCCAGTAGAGCACACAGCTGCTGCACTTTGATGTCTTTTGGTTCTTTCGTGCTCAGATCTAACTCTCTCTGCAGTAAGGGGTTTTTACGCAGAATGTCATTAAGACATTTCCAGGCTTCCTCTGCGTCATCACTGTTCAGCAGTCTGTAGAGAGAAGAATATCACCTCCACCTTAAAAACTGTATATTACTATATAATAAGAAACAGGAATGAGAAAGTTTGTGTAATCAGTATGTTATCACAGGCTGTATCTGTTATAGCATGTTACACTTCTCTATTATTATTTATGCCAAAGTTTTGGTATAGCTCTGTTTAATTACACTGCACACCTTACCAACATGTTTACTGAACGCATAATGAGCTTAACCTTACAGTTTAACAGCATCAAATAATTGTATATTATATTGTAAATAATTCAACAGCTCAAAGCAATTATATTTTTTTAATTACCCAGGTGACAATTTAGTATAGATAGATATAACAATTTTTTTAATTTCTCACCGTAGTGTTTTCGATGAATCCATGAATAAATCTGTGAGCAGCTGTACTCCTGTATCTCCAGGATCGTTCCCTCTGAGATCCAGCTCTACCAGGTGTGATGGGGGGTTTGATTTCAGAGCTGAAGCCAGAGCAGTGTATCCTTCCTCTGTTACACTGCAGTATGAAATACTACACAAAAGACAATGTTTATTCTTCAGAATTAATAAATCACAAGAAATTGCATATGTTGTATTGGCGCCTGGTGAAATATGCAAATTCTTATTCATTAATAATATGGGCTCTATTTTCATCAACATAGTACAAGCTTATAAACAAGGTGCAAAATTACAGCTTGTGTGTGGGTGTGATGGGTATAATTTTGTAAATTGTGTGACCAACACTGCAGGCACTAACTGGGCACAGAGCACTGCAACTGTAAAAATGGGTGGGCCTAGAATGAATATATTTTGAACAGGATATGTAGGGCCAGCTGCAGTCACACTCACTATAAAAATGTAAATCCACAAAGCCAAGTTGTTAGTAAAGGAATGCAATTTTGCGCTGCATTTAAAATCAGAAAATACCATTTTGACTTTCAGTATCTGTGCAAAGAGTTAGCAAGTGCAATTTTAGACTAAAGCAGGTTTTAAAATAACACTGTTCATCACAGTATGAATGTCACACCCTGTTGAACTACTTATGAAAACAGAACCCAAGGTTTTTAAAATACAATTAGTGTTATCTCCATTAATACAGGTAGTCCTTTCCCATCACATCACAGGGATCAAATGTGTTAAAAGAGAAAAGTGACCTAACATGTTTTTCGGTAAGACCCTAAACATGACAGTTTACTTTTTCATGAATGTCGCATCCACTAGGTAAGCAACAGCTACTGCGTTTTAACACTGCAAACAACATAAAACAATTAATCAGAAATGCAATCATTAAAATCAAGATGAAATTTCAGAAAATTCTAAGTAGATTGTAATGTTGAATAATCTCACTTTAGTTTCCTTAGCTGAGATGTAGCATTCTTCAACATGTCGCAGATCTTCTTCACTCCACAGTTTCCTAGTTCATTCCCTCTCAGATCCAGCTCTATCAGGTGTGAAGCATTTGAACAAACAGCTGATGATAGAGCAGCACAGCCTTCCTCTGTAATACTGCACTTATTCAGCCTGCAGACAGAAAGAACCTATAATCTTTAATTATTGACATAACTTTGCTTGCAGAAAAGAAAATTAATTTCATGTATTAGTATTTTCCTTTGTATTAAATAAACCTGCACCCAATTTGGATTGACCTTCCTAGATCAATGATAAAACTGTCTAAAACTGTTTCATAAAAATAGTTACAGCAATCAAATTGTACATTTTCATATGGCATAATCATAATCTGTTATTACTTGACATTAATACATACATCTCACATAAAACAACACTAGTATATTGAACTAATTTTATAGATTGGTTGTTAACAAAATGAATCAAAAATCAAAAAAGTCTGACTTCAGTATCTGAGTTCTGCAGTGTGAATCCTGTAATAGATCACAGATCTTCTTCATTTCTGAATCTCCTTGTATTTTCCCACTCAGATCCAGCTCTCTCTTCAGTAAGGGGTTTACTCCTAGAATGTTAGACAGAGAACCACAGGCTTCCTCTGCAGCAGAACTTTTAAAAAGCCTGCAGAAAAGCAGAATAATAAGCAACATTTATTACTTTACTTTTTCTAAGACTCCAACACATGCTATTTAATAGATCAGCTTTTAGTAGCAGTCCTTTAGTAAATCAGGGCTATACAGAGCAGCATCAACAGATAGACTTTAAAAGTTATTTTGACATTATAACATTCAAATTAGTACAAATTACTGTTGATAATTAAAACATATAATAACAAACAATACGATCATGATCAAAAAAACGTTGCCATTATTTTGGCCTTTAGTAGTAACAAAAACAATAGCACCAATCATTAGGACACAGGTTATGATGTTAAAATAATTCACCTCAGTGTCTTCAGTTTATATTTTGGACCCTTTTGTAAAACAGTGAGCAGCTTCACTCCTGTATCTCCAGGATCGTTCCCTCTGAGATCCAGCTCTATCAGGTGTGATGAGGGGTTTGATTTCAGAGCAGAAGCCAGACCAGCATATCCTTCCTCTGTTATACTGCAGAATGAAAGACTGGAGAGAAAACACATGTTAACTGTACTCAAGTAGTTTAATGGAAGTTTGTTGTGTTTTGAAAAGGGAGTAAAACTGAGACTGATCATATAATCATGTAATAAGAAATTACAACTTCATAGAATCATCTGAAAATTTCAGTCAGTGCTTTGTAGAGTGGTGCTTCACAGAGCCATGCAGGAGGTGCACAAGATCAAGCCTATGGTATATATGATGTGTCTGTTTTATGTCCTTTGCATGTGGTTACTTTGGTGATTTGTTTTGCTCTGTAATATTTTCATGTTGTCTTGTACTTTTCTGTTTTGCTTGCATGTGTTCATATATGTTGACATATTGTTCATATTTTTAAACATCAATCTTCTTATGACAGATGAAAATTAACCATATACATAATAAAACAATGATGCTGATTAGAATGTATTTCCCTCAAGAAAGTAAAATAAGATTAGCTATATATGTCCATAATTATTGGCATTCTTGGGTGACATGGGTGACTTTAATAGCAGCGCCACACAAGTCCACTACAATATCAGTGACTCTGCTGTACTGTGAATCATAACTAAATAATATCTGGTTAAGTTGTCCTGTTGTCAGAAAGTGACCAGTGGTGAATGGGGTAGAGGAAGGAGGAAGGATTTCACTTACTGTAGTTTTTCCAGAGTGCTCTTTGAATGCTTTAATAATTCAGAGATCTGCTTCACTCCAGAGTTTCCTACTTTATTCCCACTCAGATCCAGCTCTCTCAGGTGTGATGGATTTGTTCTGAAAGCTGAAGCCAGAGCAGCACAGCCTTCATCTGTAATACTGCAGTTATTCAGCCTGCAGAGAGAGAGAGAGAGAGAGAGAGAGAGAGAGAGAGATTTTCAGTCATATTTTTTACTTTTTTCATCATTTACATAGTTTACATTCACTTCAATTATATTTTTGAAAGAAAAACAATGCATTAGTTTCTCAGTGCTTAATATCTTATGCAGACAACATTGCTGCTACTGATCTCTGGTCTCATTGAAAGTTCTCCAAGAAATCACTGACTACAAGGTCAAAGACCACCAGCTCACCAACCACCTTGGTATGTTATGCCATCCCCTATTTACTGTTTGTCTGTTTAATCCCAAGGCATTAATAGAGATAGTAATAAGCTAAAATTTACACCTATATTTACATTTGTGAAAACAATTTTTTTCAATGTTACGTAAAGATTTTTTAATTTCTTTTAAAACAAAGATGAAAGATTTAGATTGATTGAGTTTAATTAAAAACTGTCTCAAAAAATTCAGTCCCACATTTTCATGTCACTACTGCAACACAAAGTGTTTTTGTCTAGTGGAGCATTATTTTAGCTGCACCTCTTCATTTTAGAGCAGGAAGTGACTTAACTTTATTGTCCCTCAAAGGGGGAAATAGATTTGCAGTTCAGACAACTTTGCATTCTACACAAAATGTAAAACACCACAAATAACACTATATGTCACATCACAACCTCACCCCCACAAAAAAAGGCCAAGATGGCACTAGCTTTCCTCAGAACCCTCTTTTATTTATTTATATATATATATATATATATATATATTTATACACACAACAGTTGGGCCTGCCATACCCCAATAATTTTACCTGCTATCTCAACAACACTTAAAATCAATCACCATATCCTTTGTTTTCAAAACATTCAGAAGAAGAAATGACTGGTAACACCATGACACAAAGTCATGAACTGCAGCTTCATGAACACAGTCCAGTCACCCTAACAGGCTAAAAAGCACTATCATCCACACACTTTAGAGTATGCCCATTTTCATGACTGCTCTGACACTCATTTGTATACATAATGTAAAGGAGAGGAGACATACAATGGCCCTGTGGAAAACCAGTAGAACCAGTTTATAATATAAGAGAACATATAAAATATAATGAAAAATATCACACAGTTGATCTGTGCACCTTATCTGGGCCTGGGCTTTTCCTTACTTGAACCTGGTGAAACAGTCTCCTAACACTAACTATACTGATCTCTGCAGCCCTACAAGACCTGGTTCTATCCTTTACTTATTTATTTCAGCTGTAAAAACATTAGTATTGAGTCTTGTATAAAGAACATTAGCTTATCAACAAAATATGTATCTGTATTAAAACTACCAAGACTAATCCCTGTAAAATCTTCCTCACTCAATCCTACCATTTTCTTCATATCCTGCCAAGCAGCCTTTATAATATTCCTACTATGATCCCCCTCAATCATTTTTTTATACCTTAGCCAATGATCTCACAGCTGATCAGCTTTTTTAATTTCCCTCACTTCATTGACCTTGCCATTCATTAGAGATCCAAGGTTTGCTATTGGGAAATATCCTTATTCTCTGAACAAGGATTATGCAATTTGTACAATAAGTAACACAGTCACACACCACTTTAGTGAGGTCATCAGTAAAGATTGTAGCCTCCTGAAAGGCAGACAAAGCAATTTGTACAATCAAAGCAACACTGTACAGCCAAAATAAGGTCCCCATTTCAAACATGGACACATCATCTTTGTACTTTTCCCTCCTTAAAACAGATTCATAATGAGGACAAATGTACACTGTATTATGATCAGGTGACCCAAGTGGAGGGTACGCAATGGATTTAAATTGTCTTCACCCCTTCAAGGTCTGAGGGCATTTTCTTGATTTTTGCATATATTCTTAAATTTGCCTTTGAAGGCACTTGCATATGACATGATATCCACATGTTTTATATTAAAATGTTCAGAATACTCTCAGCTCTCTCAGCCCTAAACCTGAAAAGTTGAAGTCTAATTAGGAATTCCTAATATCTCTTCTGAAAAACATAGCTTTACTCATGAGGACAGATTTTTTGCGTGGGTTCACAAAAGTAGTGGAATGTATGAATGAAATAGTAGACAAATGTTCTTCTCATCACTGCTTTCCAAAACTGCTGCAGCAACTTCAGTGGCTGCACACTATTTACACACCATTTCATGTCTGTGTCTGAGGAGAATGAACAAAAAATTGGTTTCTGATGTGATGTGTAAGTCTTCAGTGATTTCTTGAGTGTCCACTGGTCAATTTTACACAAAAATTGACTTACAAAACCACCAGCAACACACATAGTTACACACGCAGATGATGTGTTTTTCAGCACCTTTTCATAACTGCCTCATAACTCTGCATGTGAATCATGTACAATCTGGCGCTAATATGCACTTGAAAGGGCAGACTCTACAGATTCAGAAAATATTTGAACCGTATTTCTGAGACGAATTATCAGAAAGATATTAATAGAAACACTAAGAAATATCTAATTTGATGCCCTGGTGTGTTTGTCGACCCCTGAAGGTTAGTGGACTCCTAAAAAAGATCTAGGATTTTATTCCCTTGAGTGTGACAAGTTAATTACTGGTAAAAGTTACTGCTCACTGCCTTCTTTAAATTGCAGTGATTAAAATGTCCTAAAATAAGGTTAGGAGCATCAGGAGAGATCAACTGCAGTTTAAGAAGCACTCCGGAAATCGTATCAACAGCAATTTTAGCATTTGTTTGGGGATGAACATAAACAGTGCTAACAAATATATGGGGAAATCTTTGGGAGGTAGAAAGGCCTTAACAACACAGAAAGCAACTCAATATCAGCTAAACACAATTGTTCCCATACAGTAATGTTAGTACAGCCAGAATAATAGAAGGCAGAGGTAGGCGATTTTCCTACTGTAACTTCTTTACATGTTGGCACACTCCCCCCTTCCTCCCCCGTTTCCTAGTCAGCCTAGATGACCTAAAGCTCTCCGAGTCTGCAAATCTGTAGTCACCACAATCATCCCCTTGGTCATGTATAACAGAATGATGTTGGATGAAAATACCAGCCATTGAGTTTGACTACTGTAACTCCAAACAGGGTTGATATTTTATCCAGTTAGTTTCAAATCAAATCAGTTGTGAGAACTTATAAAACATTGAACATCACAGTGAGACTGCATCCTTGTCCCTATTAGCCACATTATGAGCAGTTAGATCCCATTGTTTTGAAGTATGTCCCAAAGTCTGAAAATCAGTGTGGAACATTAATAGTTGTCAGTACCTAAACGCATATTTTGAGTAAATAAGTAAACTTTTTTTCACTCTCGTCTGTACCCATGTACCATTTCCTCCACTTTTCCTGTCTTCCTGATGTCTCCTTCTGCTTCTGAAGGAACAATTACTGACTTCTTGCTGCACTTTTCAGTGCATGCAGATTACAGAACTAATTGTATGCAGACAGCAGAGCAGCTGAACAGGCCCTTCACTCATCCACTGCTGATACTACAGTCCATTCACTGTGGACTGAGATGATCACCCTATGTATGTCTTACATGTGCCTTAGAACATGGTTTAAGAGCTGAAGTTAAATAAGCCTGAGATTAATACACAAACCAAACAGTTGCACAGATCAATAATTCATTACATTGATCACAACACGCTTCAAGGCCAATAACTGATAATAGATATATAGATAGATAGTAGACATGTAAAATTTAAAATAATAATTGGGTCTTAATTCAGTGTAAGGCCAGTGTGCAGTTAGAAAATCTGTCTAAACATATTTTATGAATCCAGTTGCTTACATAAGTTTCTCCAGTCTGTAGTGTGGATCCTCGAGTAGAGCACACAGCTGCTGCACTTTGATGTCCTTTAGTTCAGTCTTGCTCAGATCTAACTCTCTCTGCAATAAGGGGTTTTTACCCAGAATCTTATTAAGGAATGTATAGGCTTTCACTGCATCACTGCTCTTTAACAGTCTGTAAATAGAAGAAAAACACATCCACATTAATAAGTGTATAAGAAAAAACATTAGCAACCTGCTACACCAGAATGTTAGTGTAATTAATATGCAATTGCAGTCTGCATCCGTTATAGCAAGCTGCCCTTCACTGTAGTTCTTGCCATATAGTTTCCATCCAATACAGTTACCATCTGGGTTAATTTCCCAGCACACATTTTCATTCATCAAATATAAAAAAAAACAAACAAACAAAAAAAAAAAACAAGTGACAATTGCTTTATTTCATCTTACCTGAGTGTGTTCCTTGAATCCACAAATATTTCTGTGAGCTTCTTCACTCCTGTTTCTCCAGGATCATTCCCTCTGAGATCCAACTCTATCAGGTGTGATGAGGGGTTTGATTTCAGAGCTGAAGCCAGAGCAGCATATCCTTCCTCTGTTATATTGCAGAATGAAAGACTGGAGAGAAAACAAATGCATTACTAAAACATCATGATGAAAACTTTGTTTTTAAGTAGATGACATCATTATCATTCATGTTTATGTTTGAAATTTAATACTATGATTAGAAATGCCTTCATGTTTTTAGTGTTTTTAATGTGAAAAAACGAACTCACTTCAGCTTCTGTAGTTTACAGCACTGATTGTTTAATACAGAACAGATCTGATTCACACCAGAGTTTCCTAGTTTATTCTCACTCAGATCCAGCTCTATCAGGTGTGAAGGTTTTGAATAAAGAGCTGATGATAGAGCAGCACAGCCCTTCTCTGTAATACCACTCTTATTCAGCCTGCAGACAGAGAGGAATTGTGGAGAAAAGATAATTTTAGTTTTTAGACTTTTTAAAAGAGTAAGTAATGCAATGGAAATCATAATTCAGATATAATAAGGAAAATAAATTATTTGCAATCTTTACAGTGACACAAAAGGAAGCAATGTTATTCAACTTACAAGTGACAAAAGACCACTGCTAATAGTTAATACATTTGTTTTTTTTGTAAGAAGCAATAACTTAAAATCTAAATGCAATAAACTACGTACGTAAGTTTCTGAGTTCTGCACTGTGAATCCTTCAGTAAATCAGAGATCTTCTTTAGTTTTGAATCTCCTTGTATTTTCCCACTCAGATCCAGCTCTCTCAGCAGTAAGGGGTTTATTCCTAGAACTTTAGTCAGAGAATCACAGATTTCCACTGCAGTAGAACTGTTCAACAGCCTGTAGGGACAGGACAAAATACACTCATATTATTCACAATTTAACAATTCATCTTTTATATATACATTTTTAGCAGTGTTGGCAAATGCAAACTCAGTTTACATTCTCCAGTAAAAATTACAACTTAAGTGATGCTGATTCATTAATAAGGGGCAAAACATTTTGAAATCCAAAGTATTAATTATTCCAAATGAATTGAGGAAAAAAGAGGCTGTCAACTTGCATAAGTTACTCACGTATGGTGCATGTAAATAATTTAAGCAGTTACCAATCACCAAAACAAAGCCTGTAATGTTTTGAGGATAATGATTGTTCTTAAATAAATAGTTATTTTAAAAATAAGGTGATTATTATAATTGTGTATGTCAGTAATTAAATAAATGTAGTAAGTTTTGTTAAATCATGCTGCAGAAGAAGGTTTGAGAATAACATGTACACAATAAACATATGTTCTGAAAAATCTACCTCAGTGTCTTCAGTTTACACTCAGGATCCTTCAGTAGATCGGTGAGCTTCTCCACTCCTGTATCTCCAGGATCGTTCCCTCTGAGATCCAGCTCTATCAGATGTGGTGAGAGGTTTGATTTCAGAGCGGAAGCCAGAGCAGCATATCCTTCTTCTGTTATACTGCAGAATGAAAGTCTACAAAAACAAACAACAAAAACAAAAGCCAATATATATATATATATATATATATATCTATATATATATATATATATATATATATATATTCATTTATTGCCAGATAGAGAAGTGTGATTCATCACTCCACAGAATACAGTTTCCACTGCTCCAGAGTCCAGTGGCGACATGCTTTAAACCACTCCATCTGACCCTTTGCATTGTGCTTGGTGATGTAAGGCTTGCATGTAGCTGCTCGGCCATGGAAACCCATGCGATGAAGTTCCTAACGCAGTTTTTGTGCTGACGTTAATGCCAGAAATCAGCAGTTGTGCATCATATCATCATTATAATTCACATTTATGTTTGAACTTTAATCCCGCCATTAGAAATGCCTTCATGTATTTAGTGTTTTTAATGTGAAAGAATTAGAACTCACTTCAATTTCTGCAGTTTACAGCACTGGTTGTTCAGTAGAGAACAAATCTGCTTCACTCCAGAGTTTCCTAGTTTATTCTCACTCAGATCCAGCTCTATCAGGTGTGAAGGATTTGAACAAAGAGCTGAAGATAGAGCAGCACAGCCTTCCTCTGTAATCCTGCTCTTATTCAGCCTGAAACAGAGAGAACAAAGCATCTTTAAATATTTAAATAACTTTGCAATGTGGATAAGAATAAAATTCTATGTATTAATATTTTCAATAATAAAAAAAAACAGTTATAGCAATAAAATCATGCATTTTCATATGAGACAGTCATAATCCATAATCATGGTACATGAAATGCATAGGTCCCAAATAAAATAACACTAGCAAATAGAGCCACCTTATCTTAGATGAAACACTGACAAAGATTAAATATTGACAAAATTAAACAAAAATAAAAAATGCCTGACATCAGTTTCTGAGTTCTGCAGTGTGAATCCTCCAGTAGGTCAGAGATCTTCTTCAGTTCTGAATCTCCTTGTATTTTTCCACTCAGATCCAGCTTTTCTGACAGTAAGGGGTTTATTCCTAGAGCTTTAGTTAGAGAATCACAGATGTCCTTTGCAGTAGAACTGTTGAAAAGCCTGTAAAAAAAATAAATAAAAATGAACTTTACTTTTTCTTTTTTAATGTTCAGACCTTTTCAAATAAGCTATAATATTAAAGTATATATGTAATATTAACATATACTACATGTCTATTATATTCAGTCCTTGATTTATAAAGACCTCTATACATGCTACTTTAACAGATCAGGTTGGACATTTAGAAGTAGACCTTTAGGAGATCAGTGCCTTAACAAGACATCAACGTCAGAGACTTCAAAAGTTATTTTGCACATTATATCACAAATTCAAATTAATACAAATTATTGCCGATAATTAATACATATAGTAACAAACATCTCAAGACTAAAATGGCTTTTTATTATCTTTATCCTTTAGTAGTAACAGAAACAATAGTGGAAAAAAGAGTAGGATATTAAAGTGAGAAAATAGACTAATAAGCAAATTTGTAGAACTCATGTGCACCCAGGTCATGATATTAAAATAATTCACCTAATTGTTCTCAGGTTACAGTTTGGATGCTTTTGTAAACCAATGAGCTTCTTCACTCCTGTATCTCCAGGATCGTTCCCTCTGAGATCCAGCTCTATCAGGTGTGATGAGGGGTTTGATTTCAGAGCAGAAGCCAGATCAGCATATCCCTCCTCTGTTATACTGCAGAATGAAAGACTGGAGAGAGAACATATATTAAATGTACTAAAACATCATAATGGAAGTTTGTTGCTTTATGGGATAAAAACGAAGATTGAAATTACAATCATACAATAAGAAATAACAACTTAATAGAATGTGAATTGCCTTCCTCATCTTGAAGTGAACTCACTGATATACACATTACATAGCTAAAACTCATACTTCAGCGCTACTGCAGTATTATTTTTGAGAACCAATAGTGAAGCTCTCTCTACACTAGTCTTCCACTAGTGTCTTCCAGTGGTGGTAAAGCTCAAAGTCTGCTGGGTTGTAGTGTGGTGCTTCACAGAACAGTGCACAAGGTACAGGTGCTCCTTAATCATTTCTTACTGTCTTGTGCATTTTTGCTTTGCCTCTATATGTTCACATATAGTCATAAATTTAAAAAACAATCTTTGGAAGGCAGATGAAGATTACACTTTTCCATCATAAAATAATGAAGCAGATTAGTGTGTTTTTCTCATACTCAAGTAAGTAAAAATAAGAATAGCAATATGGCTCCATAATTATTGGGATCCTTGATAAAAATACGAGACATAATGTCTATACGTTTGTTACATACATTCATTATATCCAACAGAACGAGCACTACACACACTAACATTCCTCTATAATGTCAGCGTCTCTACTGTGCTGAGAATCATACCCAAATGATATCTGGTCAACAGCTCTTCTGTGGTCAGAAACTGATGAAGATAAGGGAAGACTTCACTTACTGTAGTTTTTCCAGAATGCTCTGTGAATGCTTTAATAATTCAGAGATCTGTTTCACTCCAGAGTTTCCTACTTTATTCCCACTCAGTTCCAGCTCTCTCAGGTGTGATGGATTTGTTCTGAAAGCTGAAGCCAGAGCAGCACAGCCTTCATCTGTAATACTGCAGTTACTCAGCCTGTAGAGAGAGAGAGAGAGAGCGAGAGAGAGAGAGAGAGAGAGAGAGAGAGACAGAACAGAGAAATAGGAAATAGAGAGCAAGCACAAATGGAGAGAGAGAGAGAAAGAGAGAGAAAGAGAAAGACAGAACAGAGAAATAGGTAATTGAGAGCAAGCACAAATCGGGAGAGAGAGAGAGAGAGGTTTCCTTCATGTTTCTTTTGACTAATTTTCTTCATTTATATAGTTTACATCTACTTCAATTATATTTTAGTTAGAGACATTAATGTATTAATTTCTCAGTGCTGATATCTTAGGCAGATAACAAAGTTTGCAAAGGCATCCAAGAGATCAACAACTCTTAGGTGCAAAAAGTCCACTTCCATTCTCCTGAATGACCACCAGCTCACCAATGACCTGAACGGGTTCTACTGAGACGAAAGGTGAGAAAAGCTCCAGGGCCAGATTAATCTCTCTATCCACCCTTAAGCACTGCTGTGACTAGTACAAATTTAGCACTTCATGGTGCAGCATATTGACAGTCCTGGAACCTATGCTAGAGCTCTGTTTGTGGACACCAGCTCAGCTTTCAACACCATAGTGACAGAGCTGCTGCAGGCCAAAATGTCCCAGCTGTCTGTACCAGATGGTGGTGCTGGTGGATCACTCCCTGACAAACAAGAGACAGCAAATATGGTTTGGAAAAAAATGTCAGACCCTCAATACTGGAGTCCCACTTAATTGTGTACTCTCATCCCTTCTCCTTAGCCTCTACACCCAAGACTGTGTCTCCTAAAAAGCAGCTGTGAAAATCCTGAAGTTTTTGGATGACACCACCATGGTGGTGCCACACCGAAAAGTTGTGTGCTCTCTCTTCAGTCACTACAACAAAGTAGTGCCCATCCTCACAGCATCCATAAGCATCAGGATAGTGCAGAAGATCATTAGATGTAGCCTGAAAATGCTTCAGGACATCTACAACACCGGACTGAAAAAGCGTGCCAGCAAAATTACAGCTGACCCCTCTCATCCTGAACACCAGCACAGTTTAAACTTAAACTGAAATCAACAAACAACTGTGCCAAAGACACTAAGGCATCACACCCACTTAAAATGTTAGAGTATTACATATATAATAAGTGCATTACTTGTAAGTTTTTAAAAATATTTACGTGTTGTTGATACAGTAATTGTGCTACTAGGAGTTACTGTAATACAGTAAGGGTACTGTATTATTGTAACTCCTCTGTAACATGATGCTTATTTACACAACTGTACAGATGTTCATTTTTACACAGGTTCATATCACCCTGTAATATTCTGTGGATAATAGTGTTCTTAGACCTGTTTTTATGTTATTTGTTGCTCAGTTAAATACTTCATAACAGTCTGTTCGCTTATCTGTTCAGTAAGTTACATATCATACATTGTGCATCACCAACAAAAATTCCTTGTATGTGTAACATAATTGGTGAAATAATATGATAATAAAATATAGTAGCCATTGTTTTTCTGAGTACCAGTGCTACAATAATGCTAATTTCCATTATCAGGTTTGAGAAGTATATTACCTGTCAATCACCTTATTAACCACACCTCTTCAAATATCATCAATAACTTCTATAAAATGCATTCATCATAAAGAAAATTACAAGCCCATTTCCAAAAAAAATGGGACGCTGTGCAGAATGTAAATAAAAACAAAATTCAATGATGTGCAAATCATTTAAACCCTATATTTAATTGAATTGAATAGTACAAAGACAATATATTGAAACTGAATTTGAAATTGTACCGCTTTTGAAAAAAAATATATGCATATTTTGAATTTGATGGCAACAATACACTCCAAAAAAGTTGGGACAGGGGCATGTTTACCACTGTGTTTCATAACCTCTTCTTTTAACAACACTCTGTAAGCATTTGGCAACTGAGGAGACACTGCTGTAGTTTAGAAACTGAAATGTTTCCCCATTTTTCTGTAACAAAGGATTTCAACTGCTCAACAGTTCGGGGTCTCCTTTTTTGTATTTTTCATTTTGGAATGTGCCAAATGTTTTCAGGGGTGACAGGTCTGGACCGCAGGCAGGTCAGTTTAGTGCCAGAACAGAGCCACGCTGTTGTAATACATGCAGAATGTGGTTTGACATTGTCTTGCTGAAGTAATCAAGGCTTTCCCTGAAAAAGACGTCGTCTGCATGACAGCATATGTTGCCAAAACATGTATACATCGTTTAGCATTAATGGTACCTTCACAGATGTGCATGTCATCCATGCCATGTGCACTAATGCAACCCTATACCATCATGCATACTGGCTTTTGAACTGTGCACTGATAACAAGCTGAATGGTCTTTAGCCCGAAGGACACAGTGTTCATGATTTCCAAAAAGAAATTAAAATTTTGATGGCATAGTAGTTCTATGAACTAGTTAAGTATTTGGTATGTGATATAGTGACTTGAACACTTGGCTCCTGTGTGTAATATTGGAGACAACCATCCTGTAGTGTGAACATTTTTGCGGTATATTTACTTCTTGCTATGTAGGTCTTTTCCACCCTGTGATTCTAATTTTTAATTAGTGGCCTAGCAGTCATGCAGATTTTGCAGGACTGTCCTTTGTAGAAAAAGACACCTCATAAAACACAGACTACCACATGACTGTCCAGCATGGCACCAGAAACAACTGTGCCAAAGACACTAAGGCATCACACCAACTTAAAATGTTAGAGTATTACATAAATAATAAGTGCATTACTTGCAAGTTTTTAAAAATATTTACGTGTTGTTGATACAGTAATTGTGCTACTGTTAATACATTAAGGACTGTAATTATAGACTAGAACCATTTGACCATCATGTATTACAGACTACAAAATATAAAATAAATTGTCACTTAAATACAGTGGCTGTACACTTGAACCATATTTTCCAGTGCACGTAAGTTGTGTTGGAAGGTCATCTATCTAAAACTGCAAATAATGTTGCTGTGTACTACAGGTAAAATACTTATATATTCGAGATACATGACATGGTATTACAAACATGTATTTGAGTACACCTTAGAAAAGTACATACTTTAGTATACTGAAGCAGTATTGGAAGAGAACAAGAAGGATTCAGCAAAAAATACTTGACTGAATTTGTAAATATACTAATTTTATACTGGGATTATATAACTTTATATACTAATTATGTGAGTAAAGAGCACACAGTTAATATTAAAAACATTTAGCACAGTTTAAATGTATTTTTAGAGTTCAATTTGGCAGCACGTACTAGTATACTTAAAAAATGCCATAAGAGTGGCAAAAATAACACAACTAGTATAACTAGTATAGACAAAACATGACTTAAATATTTATCAAATACACAGTAGTAGTGATTTAGTAAATATCACTGGTCCCAAAACAACATTACTTCAGTATATAACTTTGTCAACACTACTTTTAATATACTTTTTTCACAAGGGAAATGTAAAATTTTAAATAATAATCGGTCCTTAATTCCAGTCTCAGCAGAATTTCCATTGGGGAACAACTATTGTTACATAATTCAATATAAGGCCAGTCTGCAGGTAGAAAATCAATCTAAATGAATGAAAATTTAGTGAAAACAATTGCTCACGTAAGTTTCTCCAGTCTGTAGTGTGGATCCTCCAGTAGAGCACACAGCTGCTGCATTTTGACTTCTTTTAGTTCAGTCTTGCTCAGATCTAACTCTCTCTGCAATAAGGGGTTTTTACCCAGAATCTCATTAAGGAATCTATAGGCTTCCACTGCATCACTTCTTTTCAATAGTCTGTAAATAGAAGAAAAACACAGCCACATTAATAATGGTATAATAGGAAACACTAGGAATCTGCTGCACCACAATGTTAGTGTAATTGGCCAGTCGCCCTTTCCCATTGTCTCCATTGTAATTAATTACTGTGTGTATATATTTGGATTCCAACTAGTATCCAAATTGGGTTAATTATCCCGTACACTTAATCATTCATTAAATATTTCAAATGGCCAAGTGACAACTGCTTCATTGTATCTTACCTCACTGTTTTCATTAAATCCACAAATATGTCTGTGAGCGCCTTCACTCCTGTTTCTCCAGGATCATTCCCTCTGAGATCCAACTCTATCAGGTGTGATGAAAGGTTTGATTTCAGAACTGAAGCCAGAGCAGCATACCCTTCCTCTGTTATGCTGCAGAATGAAAGACTGGAGAGAAAACATAGGCATTAATAAAACATCATGATGAAAGTTCATGGATCAAAACCCATGCTTTAACGCTCAGCTCAATGTTAACCCCATCACTACAAAAGCCTTCATGTATTTATTTATTTTTTTTTGTGAAAGAGCTAGAACTCACTTCAGTTTCTGCAGTTTACAGCACTGATTGTTCAGCAGAGAACAGATCTGCTTCACTCCAGAGTTTCCTAGTTTATTGTCACTCAGATCCAGCTCTATCAGGTGTGAAGGTTTTGAACAAAGAGCTGATGACAGAGCAGCACAGCCTTCCTCTGTAATGCTGCTCTTATTTATTCTGAAAACAGAGAGGAAAGGTGGAGAAAAGTTAATTTCAAGAAACTTCAACTCACACAGATTGCTGGAGTGGAAGTTAAAAACAATAATAACAATTTAGACTGTCTTGATATAGCTGTGATATCTTCTATAAATGTATGCAAACAAAAAGAGGAAATTAATTAAAATTATTATTTAACCTACATGTGACAAAATACCCACACAATACTTATTTTTCATAACTATTTTTGAAAACATATTGCAATCCAAATACAATTAACCACATACTTCAGTTTCTGAGCTCTGCAGTGTGAATCCTCCAGTAGATCAGAGATCTTCTTCAGTTCTGAATCTTCTTGTACTTTCCCACTCAGATCCAGCTCTGTCAGCAGTAAGGGGTTTATTCCTAGAACTTTAGTCAGAGAAACACAGACTTCCTCTGCAGCAGAACTGTTCAACAACCTGCAGAGAGAGAAAAACACACATTCACCTTTATTAAATTTTAAACTGCTAATCACAGAAACGGTGTGTTTTTACACATTTATTTACAGCAGTGTAGGTAAATATAAGCCCAGTTTAAAGTGAGTCACAGTATAGATCAGTGGCTAAGTAGTTGGTCCTGATTTTGGTTTCAGTTCTGGGCAACAGTGGAAAATATCCCAAAACTTTTACCTTAGTGTCTTCAGTTTACAGTTTGCATCATCTAGTAGATCAGTGAGGTTTTTCACTCCTGTATCTCCAGGATCGTTCCCTCTGAGATCCAGCTCTATCAGGTGTGATGAGGAGTTTGATCTCAGTGCTGAAGCCAGAGCAGCATATCCTTCCTCTGTTACACTGCAGAATGAAAGACTGAAAAAAAAATTGAATTAAAAAACAAAACTTTAAATTCAAGGATTCAGTTTGATCCATATTAAAACTTATTAAAGACTTATTACTAACTTTAGTTTTTCAAGTTTGCAGTTTGAATTCTTTAATAGAGAACAGATTTTATTCACTCCGGAGGTTCCTAGTTGATTCTGATTAAGATCCAGCTCTATTAGGTGTGAAGGATTTGAACAAAGAGCTGATGATAGAGCAGCACAGCCTTCCTCTGTAATACTGCTCTTATTCAGCCTGCAGACAGAGAGGAATCTTTATTTATTTATTTTTTAATCTTTGCATTAAATAAATCTGCGCACAATTTGGTTTTGTATTCATAAATTAAACTATAATAACTATATAATAACCATTTCATAAATTTACAGTGCAGTGAAATTGTACATTTTATAGTTATAATCTGTCACGAAGCTAATTTTAAAGATTGCATGTTGACAAAATTAATTAAAAAATGCCTGACTTTATTTTTTGAGTTCTGCAGTGTGAATCCTCCAGTAGAGCAGAGAGTTTCTTTAGGTCTGAATCTCCTTTTATTTTCCCACTCAGATCCAACTCTCTCAGCAATAAGGGGTTTATTCCTAGAACTTTAGTCAGAGAATCACAGGCTTCCTCAGCAGTAGAACTGTTCAACAGTCTGCAGATAAATGATAATGAACACACACACACACAGACACATATACACACACACACACACACACACACACACATTTTCTAAGCCGCTTCTGGGTCACAGGGGGAGATGGGGCGATGATGATTATCACCTTATTCTTTTATTGTAATGTTCAGATAATTTCCAAGGAAATATGATATTCAATTTTTCAAGTAATATGATCACATGTTCCATGGCTATTAAAAGGATGCTGCAAAGTCAGAGAATAAAATAATAGCAAATCTATTGTAATAGAACTCATGTACATGGTCATGATATTAAAATAATTCACCTCAGTGTCTTGAGTTTACAGTTTGGATCTTCTAATTGATCAGTGAGCTTCTTCACTCCTGTAGCTCCAGGATTGTTCCCTCTGAGATCCAGCTCTATCAGGTGTGATGAGGCATTTGATTTGAGAGCTGAAGCCAGAGCAGTATATCCTTCCTCTGTTACACTGCTAAATGAAAGACTGGAGAGAAAACATATGTTAACTGTACTAAAACAGTACAATGGGAATGTGTGGCGCTTTCAAATGGGAGTAAAAACACAAACTGAAATATTTTAATAATATATAAAATAATAATAATAACACTATATAAAATATGAAATATATATTAATAATATAATAAGAAATGAGAACTTTATAGAATGTTGTGAATTGCCCCCCCCGCCATTATCTACAGTAACCCTGACATTGTTATTCAGACATTACATAAAAGTTTTAACACCTACATGATCAGAACTACTGCGGTATTATTTATGAGAACCTACAATGAAGCTCTCACTACCCTAGTCGGTGTCTCCTCAGTAAAACTTGGCAAGCTGGTAAATCTCAAAGCCTGTTGGGTCAGTGTTTTGTAATGTGGTGCTTGACAGAACAGGAAGTACATAACATCATATGATGTGCCTGCTTGATGATCCTTGCATATGCTTATTTTGCGTCTTTATGCGTTTGCGATCTGTAATGTTTTCATTATGTGTTGTGCTTTTTTGTTTAGCCTGTACATGGAAGTACTGTTCATATTTTTAAATATTAATCTGCCCAGGGAGAAAATATTACCTTCATTCATTTACTTAAAAACAATAAAAGTGTGCATTTATTCCATAATATAAACAAAATAAATAAAACAATTTAATAAAGTAAGTAAAAACTAAGACTATGTATATAAATCCATAATTGTATGCATTCTTATTAAAGGTGGGTAAAGGTCATGAGAAATGTCTTTTTGGCTGATTAGCTCAATCTCACACAGAAAATACTTTTCCTATAATGCTTGATTAGATTGCAGAATCCAAGTGCACTCCTCAGTACAGAACTTCTCAGGTTCCTCCAGGGTTCTACATTTACATTTATGGCATTTGGCAGACACTCTTATCCAGAGAGGCTTACAATTTGATCTTTACACAGGTAGGTGAAGGTAGTGTTAGTAATCTTCCCCAAGGACTCTTACTGGTATAGTGTAGGGTGTTTGCCCAGGTGGGCATTGAACCCCAGCCTACAGCATGGAAGGCAGAGATGTTACCCGCTATGCTATACCAACCACACTGGTTCTAGCTCCTCTATATTGGACTCTCCTCTTCAGTTCACCACACAGGTTCTCAGTGAGGTTTAGGTCAAAGGTATTGAGATGGCCATGTCAAAAAATGATATGATGGCCAGGTAAGCCATCATATCAGGGAAGACTTCACTTACTGTAGTTTTTCCAGAGTGCTCTTTGAATGCTTTAATAATTCAGAGAGGTGCTTCACTCCAGAGTTTCCTACTTTATTCCCTCTCAGATCCAGCTCTCTCAGATGTGATGGATTTGTTTTGAAAGCTGAAGCCAGAGCAGCACAGCCTTCATCTGTAATACTGCAGTTATCCAGCCTGCAGAAAGAGAGAGAGAGATAGAGAGGTAGACACAGAGAGAGAGAGACAGAGAGAGTAGTTCTTTTCATATTTCTTTTGACTAATTTTCTTCATTTACACTGTTTACATTTATTTCATTATTTCTTAAAGAGAGAAAAAGATGCTTTAATGTCTTAGTGCATACAATATTTGGCAGACAACAAACTCAGTGACTGTAAATACCTATAGAAATTACATCAGCATTGAATCCCATTGTAACACTATAAAGCCTTAAGTGTGCCGAATTGAAAAAAAGCTAGTTAATTCACACTTGCACAGTAAATGCACACAGTATGCACAGAGATGGGAGCTGCAGCGTGTCCCACACACTCAAAAAAGATGCTTCTTAAGTTTATTTAGATTCAGTTGAAAGCCTTGAGCTCTACATAGAACTCTACATAGAATTTCATGCTTAAATCTTTTTTGTACGTTGAAATGGTTACTCAGATTGATAGAGAATGTGTTGCATATGGTTCTTTATAGAACCTTCTTGAAAATGCCTCTATATAGCACCATAAAAAGGTTCTGCTATTGTAACAATATCAAGCTTGACAGGAAACCTTGAAAAGAAACATGTAACCATGAAATCTTTCTATATTAAACTCATATTTCCTTAAAGAACTATTGCCTTAACAAAAACTTTTTGAAGGACCATCTTTTTTTAATATGTGAGTTAAGTTAGGGACACTTTATATAAAGAGTGTGTATGGTGTCTGAATTTTACATTGTTCATCTTTATGGATGTGACAAATGAAGTCTTAAAAAGGTAATATATACTATAAATATATCATTATATGTTTAATGCAGATAATTACCTTATTTTGTAGGTCACTGTAAATCTGATTAACAGTGCTACAATAATGCTAATGTTTGTTCCGCCCTATCGAGCTTCAGAAGCAACAGGAAGTGTCTGCATTTCCACAATGTTACACTTTCAGTCGCAGCTGTTAATCACATCATTAACCCTCTCAAATATCAGCAAATAACTGCCATAAAATGCATTTATTATACAGAAAAATACTGAGGGAGACATGAACATACTTGAATACAGCTGAAGAAAATGTAAAATTTTAATTTGGGCTTGAGCTCGCCTTCACATTCATGCCTCTATCACTCATTTTAAGAAACAACGTAAGTTCTTTTGACATTGAACCAACTTTAATTACTTTTATTGTATTTCATTTTTAATTAACTATTTTTTTTAGTATTTCAGTATGTCATTTCTTTTGCTGCATTTTTATTTAATACAGAAATTGTGATTAAAAAAATACAAGAAAGTCAATAAATTAGCAAAAACACTAACTTCAGTATCTGAATTCTGCAGTGTGAATCCTTCAGTAGGTCTGAGATCTTAATTTCTGAAACTCCTTGTATTTTCCCACTCAGATCCAGCTCTCTCAGCAGTAAAGGGTTTCTTCCTAGAGCTTTAGTCAGAGAATCACAGACTTCCTCTGCAGCAGAACTTTTCAACAACCTGGAAATATTAAATTACTTCTCATTTACAACTGTGATATCATGTACAATGAATTAAAAAAAAGTTAGGTATAAATAAATAAATGTTAATAAAGGTATTATTAAACTACATACAGAATATACAGCACTATTTCACATTTACAACACCATGGTACAGTATTAGGTTTATTTTCAGGCCTGGACACCTTTCTAGGTAAATGCCATGCATAGCTTGATTTAAACTGAGGACCATTTTTTGTTTGGACAAAGACGTGATGATCTGATTAACATACAGAACACATCAAAAGCTAAATTCACCAAACATGTGAGGAAACAAACCCAACATTGTTGTACCTATATAATTGATGCTGCAGTGTAAAAACTAATCTTAAAACACCTAAATGAAGTATATATTATTGCCTAAAAACAATTCACCTCAGTGTCTTGAGTTTACAGTTTGGATCCTCTAGTAGATCAGTGAGCTCCTTCACTCCTGTATCTCCAGGATCATTCCCTCTGAGATCCAGCTCTATCAGGTGTGATGAGGGGTTTGATTTTAGAGCTGAAGTCAGAGCAGCATATCCTTCCTCTGTTACACTGCAGAATGAAAGACTGGAGAGAGAACATATGTTAACTGTACTAAAACAGTATAATAGATGTTTGTGGTGTTTTAAACTGGGAGTAAAAACTGAGAATTAAATTACAATCATATAATCACACAATGTTGTTAATTGCCCCCATCCCCCGAGTTGTAGTCTGTCATTGATATTCAGAAATTACATAAAAGTTATCATGCATGTATCATCAGAGCTACTGAAGTATTATTTATTCATTTGTTATTGTCACTGAAAAAAAAGTAATACAATAATAGTTAATTAGCTTGAGAATATTTCAAGTATTCTTCTGTCACTGAAGAGGTTAATTCATATGGTTAATTGTAATAATAAGATTTCAGACAAAATCAAAGCAGTACCACAGCTATAACAACTCAGGGAAGTGACTCACTTGAGTTTTTGTAGCATGCAGGTTGAGTTCATTAGTAGACCAGAGAGCTGCTTCACTCCTGAATTTCCTATTTTATTGTCACTCAGATCCAGCTCCATCAAGTGTTCTGGGTTTGATGTCAGTGCTGAGGCCAGACCACCACAGCCTTCTTCTCTTATACTACTGTTACTCAGTCTGCAGAGACATGAAAAAAACAGAATTGATAGGTTATGTGTAGTTTGGGCCTCTTCATTATTAGAATGCAGAAGAATACAGTGCATATATCATATGGACTGCATACATTTTCATCTCCTCATTTTTTTCAAATATCATGTGAATTTCCAAACTATATGGCCAATAATATGTAGACACCTGACCATCACACCCATGTGAGCTTGTTGGACATCCCATTTTAAAACCGTGTTCAGTAATATGGAGTTGGCCCCCTTTTGCAGCTATAAGAGCCTCCACTCTGGGAAGCTTTCCACAAGATTTTGGAGTGTGTCTGTGGGAATATTTGTCCATTCCATCTGTAATAGGAAAGGCTCTTCCCCAAACTGTCCCCACAAAGTTGGAAGCATATAATTGTCTAAAGTGTCTAATGTTTAATAAATGAAATAGCATAAATCTATAAATCAATTACATACAAGAAAACAAAATACAAGATAACAAAAACCACTCTTTGTATCACCAAAATCCCACATTTACTTAGTTTTTCAAATATGCACAAATGATGCTCTAAGTGAGGCGAGCTTACATCATAATCTCCAGTTTACAGTTAGGATTACTTAGTACACCAGTGAGGTGCTGCATTCCTGAATCCTGAAGACTGTTGTTGCTGAGGTCCATCTTTCTCACACTGGAGGAGTCCAACTTGAGAATGCTGGCTAGAGCTGCACAGCTTTCCAGGGTTAGATTACACTTACTGAGCCTAAAAGAAAACATGAGTTGTGAATGTAATTCTGCAGATAATACTTAAAATATTTGATTATTTTTTTCTAATGAAAATCATTCCACAAAAATATAATTGTAGTATTATTTGGGGGCTTTGTGATTTTCTCCTAAAGCCATAAAGGAAATATACTGAATGGGTGGTGCAGGTCTTTATCTTATTCATGACAATTTTATTCCAAAAAATGTTTGATCAATAACAGTGAAACTATGACAAAGTAACTGCCGTATTATGTCCAAAATGTCTAATAGATTAAATATATTTTTGTTATTTTATATGTGAATGTTGTTTTTTTTACCTGCATCCAGTGATGTTTAACAATATAAACTGTCATGAGATTAGAAATGTGCTTTGTGGTGGTCTGAAGCACTCTGATTTCTAGTTCAGTTACAAATTCAGCACTGATTAGTAAGATATTTTCTGTTTAATACTTATTCATAACTTCAGGTAGTCTTTCAATCATTCTTCATGACTGTTTACATTAATTCAATTTTTTTTTCTTCTGAGGAACACAACTTGGACATTATTGTAATACTTAATGCTAACCTCAAAGCTCACCACAATCACATGACATTTTTGTTAATTATGATTTACAAAATTATTAGAGTAAGTAATACTAACCTAAGCTCCTTTATTATACAGTGTGAATCTTCCAGCAAAGCACACAGCTGCTGTAGTTTTGAATCTCCTTGTATTTTCCCACTCAGATCCAGCTCTGTCAGCAGTAAGGGGTTTATTCCTAGAGCTTTAGTCAGAGAATCACAGGTTTCCTCTGCATCAGGAGTGTTCAGAAGCCTGTAGAGAAAGAAAACCTCTCACATCATTTTTAGAAATCTCTTTCACAGTATGTGGATTATAAAACAAAGCCAATAGTACCAAATCACCACTGACTGTGAAGAGGCTGAAACAATTTGGTTAATTTTATGCTTGCTTAAAAATGCAATGCAGTCAGAAGGCCACAACTAATGGGCTATACCTTTTTATTACAGACAAAATCTCAGAAAAAAAAAACAAACAAACAAAACAATGAAAGGAAGTCTTCAAGAGGTTCAAGAGCTAACATTTCACTGTCTGGAAAACCAGTGGTGGACAAAGTACACAAATTCTGTACTTGAGTTAAAGTAAAGATACCCAAGGTAAAATATTACTCCAGTAAAAGTAGAAGTCCTCCCTTTAGACCTCCACTTGAGTAAAAGTAGTATTTGCCTTCAAATGTACTTGAGAATCGAAAGTAAAATTACTAAAAGACCTTTTGCAAACAAGCAAAGTTTCAGTTTAATATTTATTTGCAACTTAGTTACAAGTTTAAGTTGAATAAAAACCTGCTTTAAAGGTTCACAAATGAGTTTTCCTTTACTATATTGAATCTGTAGGTCTCTGTTCATACACATGAACAAGCCAAAATAAATTTACTATAAAATGAAATAGTGTTTGTATAAATTCAAAGAAAATACACATGCCAGTCACAACTGCGTATGTGTACATATTTCTATATTGTGGTCTATTTACAAAAAGTTTGGTTAGTTCATCATTTATGTTGAATAGACACTCCCAAAATGTTATGCTGCTGCACTGATGTTGAACTGTATGTTTGCACTGGGTTGGTATGTCCAACAGGTCAAAACAAGCTCAAAACAAAGTGTGCGCTGTGTCCTGATTGGTGTTCTTGCTTCACGCTTCTTTTGTTTTGACATGTTACGTTTTTATACACACATAGACCAAAAGGAACAACAGATTTTGCATAATGTAGTGGAGTAAAAAGATAGTCTTTGACTTTGAAATGTAGTGAAGTGAAAGTAAAAAGTCGCCCAAAATGGAAATACTTCAGTAAAGTACAGATACACGAAAAAACTACTTAAGCGCAGTAACGAATTACATTTAATTAATTACTGTAACCACTGTGGAAAACTGACTGTAAATCTGCCATGTAGCTAGGAGTCACAGCATCAAAAACTCCTGGAAGCTGTGCCTCATGAAATCAACAGAAACATTAAAAAACAATACTTCCAAAAGGTCTGTGGACTTAAAACTCTCCAATGTGCAGGGCAGTCCTGGTTTTGTAAGATAGACAAACACCTTGTGCATTTACTATCTTGTTACATTTTCATAAATGTCCTTAATGGCAGCAACTACTTCACTCACAGTCATTGACAATGACAATACAATTTACAATATGATACATTGCAAACGTAGTAGTAAATAAATAGTTGAATAATTTCTTACGTAAGTTTTTTCAGTTTACATTGTTGATCATTTAGTACATCAGAAAGCGTCTTCACTCCTGTATCTCCAGGATTGTTCCCTCTGAGTTCCAGCTCTATCAGGTCAGATGAGGGATTTGATTTTAGAGCTGAAGCCAGATCAGTATATCCTTCCTCTGTTATACTGCAGAATGAAAGTCTGGAGAGAAAGCATATGATCACTGCTCTAAAACAGCACAGTAGAAGTTTGTTATACATTTAAAGGAATAAAACCTAAAAAAAAAAAAAAACTGTGCATGATTTTTTTTTTTGAGCAATGTCCATTAAATCAGTGAGATTCTGCACTTCTATGTGCTTTCACATGGCAGTAAGAAATTTGCAACCACATTTGTGGACACCAGAAATTATTACAGATGTATTTATGTTTTAAAATGTTCCTTATTATTTAAAGTGTAAAACTCACCCTAGTTTCTGTAGTTTACAGCACTGATTGTTCAGTAGAGAACAGATCTTCTTCACTCCAGAGCATCCTAGTTTATTCTCACTCAGATCCAGCTCTATCAAGTGTAAAGGATTTGAACAAAGAGCTGATGATAGAGCAGCACAACCTTCCTCTGTAATACTGCTCTTATTGAGCCTGCAGACAGAGAGAGATGGTGGAGAAAAGATGGTAGTATGTGACTTATGAAGGTATTTTTGCCTTGTTTGCTCAAGAATGTAAAATAAGGTATAAATAGCATTTTATATTACCAAATAGATAATAAGCATTGTTATAAAATATTACTTAGAATTAAATTGTTAATAATAAATCACATTACATACTTCAGTTTCTGAGTTCTGCAGTGTGAATCTTCCAGTAGGTCAGAGAGTTTCTTTAGGTCTGAATCTCCTTTTATTTTCCCACTCAGATCCAGCTCTCTTAGCAGTAAGGGGTTTATTCCTAGAACTTTAGTCAGAGAATCACAGGCTTCCTCTGCAGCAGAACTGTTCAAGAGTCTGTAGAGAAAAAATTGTATATCTAACAATGTAACGACATTTTCCATTGACTGCACTATAAAAAAAATGTATATTTACATGCCATCTGCCATACAGTTAACATCACTTATGCATTTCATAAAAATACCAGTGTAGTTGCTGTAAATGTAAGGTTAGTGATGATTATTTATTATATATAGTTTTGACCATGATTTTATGCTTAAGCTTCTAGTTGACTAGTAGTATTTTTTATATTATGCTTAGGTCACAATAAATAAACAGTGCTGTATTTGTCAAAAATTGTCAAAAAATGAAAACATTGCAAGGCAAAAAGGTTTATGAGTCCTGTACCGTAATATTTAATGTAACAACATCACATAACATTTCAATTACTGAAAATTTTCAGCTAATGACATTGAGTTATGTTTTTTCATATCACTTAAGGTTAAAATCCATGTAAGTTAAGTCCCATTTTTGGCACCGAAATGTATAGATGCACAAGTAGAGCCACAGCTGTAATGCTCTGTTAAAGTCCTACTAATGGTAGATTTCATATGGTAGTTTGTTAAAAAGTGATGTCTCATGTGTCCATTAGAATCCAAATAAGTAGTGCATGGGATTGGTTTCATCTTTCATACATTTACTAATTCATCTTCATTATTAAAGAAGGATCTGCCTCCGTTCCACTGTTTACCTTCCAGTGCTGAGATTCACATTTTGTGTTTGCTCTAGACGTCATTCTCCCTGCTGCCAAGAGATTACATGCTCAAGTGCCCCAGCACTGGAGGCACTGATCAGTTATTTAACAGAATACAATTACCAATAAGAAGCTTTTGCTAACACTATGACCTTGATTTATTAAAATAAGATGTGATTAGAATGCTTGAAATGATAGCCTAACCACAAAGACAAACCATGGCCAATGGTTACTAACAGTAATATTGCTTATGTTGGTGTTCGCTCACATTATTGTTGTTATTTAGTTTATGATAGGGGTTCATGCCTACTTTTTCCCTGTACCAATACAATCATCAGTCTAGAAAGCAATCATGCTGTTGGTTAGGGAACTCCAACCTTCTTTCGTTTCCTTGTTTCTCTTCTCACCTGATACTCAGTAGAGGAATTTCTGCTCATATAATTATATACAGATACAGAAATGGCCCTCCATTTACACCAGTGTTAAATGTCAATTTTGTAGTTAACTGGAGTTTTTTGCTGCTTGCTTTTCCATTTATGTATACAATTAAATGTTTTTCTTTTGAATTGGAATGACCTGATTCATGCCATTGCTTAAGCTTCTGCAGTAACTGTATTTTAAGCTAAATTTGTTGTGTTTTTATATTAGATTTTCAGGTTTTAGAATTCAATAGTAAAGTGTAACCTCTCGTGGAATGTTAATGTTCTGGGCCCACATCAACTCACAACCTTACAACTCACTGTTAGTATTATACAACTTTTATATCTAATTTTATGTTTATTTTCTTTGTAGATTGTAGATTTAAAAGCTTTGTTCTTGTTATTAGTATAATAACATTTGTGTAAAAATATGTAACAGTTTGTGAAAATACAGTTATTAGTTGAATTTCTAAGATCAAAAAGTGGATATTAAGTGACATCAAACCAAATCTTACACACATGGAGTTTGGCTGCAAACAAAACCATTCCACAACACTGTCTTGTCAGTTTAATGAATTATATATATGTTTAAAGCTTCTGAGGTTCAAAGCTCAGTGTATACCTTATTTACATCCAATTTTGTCGGCCACCATGGAGAAGACCATGAAAATGAAAATGCAGTCAGATCAAATGCAGTTTCAAAGGCATTTTGACACAGAATGAGTGCAGTAGGTGTGAATATGTAATTGCAAATAGTAGAGGCGCTGTTTCTCAGTTACACTTGAATTTTGTCTTCTTTCTAGCTCGGTGTTCTCTGTGATAATTCAATTTGAATGCATTATTAGAGAGTGAAAACGCATATAAGATAAATTACATTTTAATTGTCATTTTCACACCATTTTTGCATAATCACATTAAGTATGAATATGTACTTCTCTTTGTGTAAATTAAATGTCTATGCTAGTATACTAAATGGCAAATAAAATCACAGTATTGATTTTGAATTTTAATATTGAGGTCAACATTGCATTAATGAGTGGTAAATTCATATGCAAACATTCAGATACATTGCCTTTTTACATATTACATTTTAATTTTAATTTTGATACTGATATGTTCTAGAATTTTTTGATAGATGTTCTTTGTTATTTCTTCATGTTTCATTGTAACAGCAAAACAGTGCATTGTGTTTTAAAACTTTCAATGACGCTAAATCAGATGCTAATAAGTAAATAAATAAAAGTGAATAAAGTACACAGTTTAAATGTGTATATATGTAAAATTTTGAAATTTTACAGTTACTGCATGTATTAAACACTTGGATAATGTTCTGCATTCTATTAAAACATACTATGGACTCTATCAAATCTGAGTATCAACTGACATATTTACATTACATTAAATGTTTGAAAACTTATGACTCCTTACCACTGTCTGTTTTTTTAATTTTTTGTTTTGTTTTGTTTTTATTTGTTACTTTGTTTGGCAACTTAACTACTACTCCAGCAAATTGCTGTATTTATAAATCCCTTTGTTTTATGATTACTTTCATGTGCTCATATCCAGGCAATAGCAATAAATCTACACACAGATTTTTCAATTAAAAACAGATAAGGATTAATAATTTACAGTCATAAACTGGTTATGACTAAATTCAGAGAAAATAGGGTAAAAGAGACAAATTGATGATTTTGTCTGTAATTGTACTGAAATAATTATAATTTAACAGTTTCTGCTGCATTTTTCAGATGATGTTCTTGGTATTTCTTTTAAAAACAATGTTTGGCACCCTGTGCTGCTGGACATTTGACTGTTTTTTTTTTTTCAAAGTTTTTTTAAAGTGCATTTCTTCCAATCCACTCAGTATTCTGATCAACTTCAAGTGTACATCATATATTATTATCGAGCTTGGTCAACAACTGAAGGTATTTGTAGCATAAATGCTCATAAAGATACCTTGTTGTCTTCAGTTTACAGTTTGGATCCTCTAGTAGATCAGTGAGCATCTTCACTCCTGTTTCTCCAGGATCATTCCCTCTGAGATCCAGCTCTATCAGGAGTGATGAGGGGTTTGATTTCAGAGATGAAGCCAGAGCAGCATATCCTTCCTCTGTTATACTGCAGAATGAAAGTCTGGAGACAAAACATATGATAAGAGCTGTAAAATGACACAATGGAAGACTGCTGTACTTTTAAACTAATAAATCATGGAAAATTTGTACAGATTTTTTTCTGACCCCAATTGTAGTCTCAACCAGTAAGAGCATTTATGTTTTGCATTTTTGTCCTCCTGTCTTTCTTTTTCCTGCTGCCATGCCCTATGGTCACTGCTAAAACTCCATAATGTAATTCTAGCAAGCTATCAACTAGTTGATCTATGGCAGAAGTCAGTACAAGTGCTCGAACTGCAGTTTTATATTGGTGTAACAAATTTATGGATGAGCTCAATTTTTCAGTCTTTTGGATGGAGGGATATAGGACGTATTTGTTACATGTTGTTCAAACACTTCATAAGGTAAAATGCTGGAGGTCACTAGCTCGCTAGTTGACCAAAACCCAGAAAAAACAAAAAAACAAACATCCTCAAAAAAAAATCCTCACCTTTTGTTTTGCTCACAGGAGCAACAATGCCTAGTATTTAAGTAACTTTAATATTCTGGTGATGTCCAGCATTTATGCCTTTGGTGTTAATGAGCTGGTTGATTGTATCTTGTTTGAAAAGTATCTAAGGCTGTGTTGTGTGCTTGGCCATTTTCATGCTTAAAACAAGTTATGTCCATATATTTTTAATCCTTAAATCCAAACAGCTTTCTTCCCCACACTTGTCTCAAAATCAGTGGGATCCTCATTACTAAGGCTCCTAAGACTCCATTTTTCTCCTACCAATATGTTGGGGAGCTTCTATATGTAGCTGGGTGTTTAGATGTCAAAAATGGAATTATGAATATGAAATACACAAATCCAACTCCAAAACAAGTTGGGCAGTGATTTATAAACCTATTTTGATCTGTATTTTAACAGAAACAGTACACAGACAAGATATGTAATGTTTTACCTTATCAACTTCATTGTTTTTTTAATATTAATATGTATTTTAGTATATATTAATTTATATTAATAGTTTTTTTAATTATTCATCAATATATGCTCATTCTTAAACATTGATGCGAGCAGCATTTTCCAAAAAGTTGGAACAGGATCAGTTTAAGACTAGAAACATTACAAAATGTTCAAAAAACATCTTATACATACAGAAAAGGTCTAGTTCTTTAGAAGCCAGGATGAGTAGAGGTTCACCACTTTGCCAACAATACATCAGCAAGAAATCCATGTTCCCCATGAGCACATGCAAGCATAGCTAGATCCCCATCTTTGGTACATAAAATCCTCAAAAAATTCAGGTAATCTGCACGTCACATCATCAGAGATTGGAGAAGTCTCTGAGTGAAAAAAAAGGCTGAAAATCATAACTGAATGCTCAGGACCCTTAACCCCTCAGACAGCACAGCATTAAAAACTGGCATGTTTCTGTGATGGATATCAACTCATGAGCTCGGGAGTACTTTGAAAATCTGTTGCTATTAAACCTTGTTCACTGCTGCATCCTCAAACGTTTATGTCAGAGATGTTTCAGCATGACAAAACCAAGCCACATTCTGCACATCAACATTATAAACAGAGAGTACAGGTGCTAGACTGACCTGCTTGCAGGGCAGAACTGTCTCTATTGAAAAAGTGTCTTATTAAGCTCAAAATGGCCCCAAAAAGGCCCCATAAGGTTGTACAGCTGAAGACTTGTATAACAGATGAACGGCAAAACTGTATCAATTTTCAGTCTCCAAATGTTTATTAAGTGCTCTTAAAAGGAAAGTTGATGTAACACAGAGGTAAACATGCTTCTGTCCCAAATTTTTGAAACATATTGCAGGTATAACATTTGGAATAATTGCATATTTACAAACAACAATGAAGTTAAAGGTAAAACATGAAATATTGTGTTTTTGTACTGTTTTCAACTTAATACAGGTCAAACAAAATGTTCTAAACACTGCTTTCCAATTCCACCTGCTAGTTAGGACTCCCCCAATCACACGATACTATCAATGCTAGGAGGGTGAAGGCAGCACAGGCTTCCTCCGAGACCTGTGAAGCACCACCGCTTCTTTTCAAACTGCTGCTCACGCAACGTCATCGGACAGCTGAACGCGCTCGGAGGAGAGCGCCAACCGCCAGATCTGTTACGTCAGCTAACAGACGCCTGTGCTGACTAGCAGCGCGTTGAGTGATGGGGGGAGAGGGAGGGGCCATCCTACCCACCCAGAGAGAGCGAGGCCAATTGTGCTCTCTTGGACTCCCAGCTACGGATGACTGTAGCATCAGCAGGGATCGAACTCATGACCTCCTGATGATACGGCCAATGCTTAGACGGTGGCACCACTCGGGAGCCCTGCTTTCTGTTTTCTGAGAAATCACACTTGTATTCCCTCCAGAGGTAATGTTCCCAAGTCATAAACAGGCCTCAAGAATTCACACTTTCTCTTTAGGGTCAAGCAGACCCTAAAACAAACAAACCAACAAAAAAAAGATCATTCTGGTTTATCATAAGAAGACAGGACAGTATGTATGTCATCATGGGGTTATTATCTCATGTTTGAATTGATTATTTTAAACATGGACACATAGCTCCACCAAGTGGTGGAAATAAGACAGGCTGCACATGTTCAAAACCATTTTTCCACATTAACTGAAATGCCTTTTAAACAAGGAAGTCATGATACTACAATTCATCACTATTAAAAGTTGGACATTTGAAATGTATAACATATTCAGTCCAAACAGAATTGGGTCACAAGTTTATGATGCTGGTTAAAACTCCATACTGTTTTATATAATTGATACTACTTTTGTTTTACTTTTTTAATTCCTTAAATGTGTATCACACACACACACACACACACACACACATTTTCTAAGCTGCTTATCCTTCTGTGTCACGGGGTAAATGGGTATCTCATTATCAGTAATTACTATGAGTATTGAGTGTTTAGTGGAGCTTTGCCCATTTAAACATTTTTTTTTTTAAATCGTTAAAAGACTAGTGAGTTTGTAGAAACTAGGGAGGCATGTCCCCTTTTCATCACCCTGGCTTTGTCTAAAGCCAACCAAATCAGGATGCACATTGATTTCAGCAAGTTGGAGAAAGTTGGAAAATGAGAAAACTTCCATCTTAGAAAAAGTCTTAGTGCCAACCTCAGCTAGAGAGTTTGAATGTTTAACTAGTCTTTTGTTTGTGTAAGTGTTTGTTTAATTTGTTTTTATGCTCACCTTAAGTCTGATCCACGCTACACTGAGAGTCAAGAAGGGTCTGTTGCATGGCCAATGACAGGTCGCTTTTAACTCATACCTTTGCACAGTTGAGGATATCACGCAGCCTCAAAATCAGAGCATATTCCTAAACATCATCCTGACATGTCTCAGGAAGTCTAGCCTGGTCTCAAGAGCAGTTGGAGCCGCAGCAGCAGCGCCAGCAGCTGCGTGCGTAACCTCTTCACCTGCAGGGAAGCTGCATTTGACCGACACGGGCTGCCTCTATGGTGCTAGATGGACCAATTCTCAGCCACTTCAGTAGAAAGAAGTGTTTCCAACTTCCTTCCACGACCAAGTAAGGCAGGCTTTAATATGCTCAGAGGCTGATGCAACTAAATCTGGCAGGGTTTTATATTCCCTGTTTAGGCCCACTGCAGGTTAGTCCATAATTGGATTTTGGGTGTTTTCAGGCCCGTTGCCCATAAAGCTAATCACCTCAAACTTCCTTTTGGTTAATAGTATTGGTTAATCATGGGTTAATCTCTGTATCTGAGCTCTATATGGGTCTGTGTATCTTTTGATTATTTCATTTTTATTTCAAAACCTGTACTGAAAAACAGTAAATAGGTCAGCTCTCGTTTTTGGTTCTGTTATTGTCAGTGGAGTCAAAGTCAAGAAATGGCTTTGTTTTACAGTTTCACAAACTAATTATAAAATCAAATGACAAACTCAGTAATAAAAGAAAGTGTAATATTTTATTCATACATAGAAGCTCAGAAATCAGAAAGATTGAGCATGAGTGTTGACATTTTGGGAGGCTATAAGACATTTTTGTAGGTGTTTGTATACTTGATGTAGCTTTGTTCGATTTACAATAAAAAAAGAAAAAAATTAATGTAAAAAAGTTATGTGAAAAACAAATAAAAGTTGAATGAATACTGGAAAAAAAAAGAATACTGTAATGTTACGTTGTCAAACATGAACTTGGTTGTAGCAGGTGTGTTATTGCTCCAGACTTGGGAATTAAAACTGTGAGCTGTGTGCTGTCATGTGTTCATAGCATTCTTATAATGTAGTGTTGTGGCTGTCTTTGGCTGCAGTTTTGGGAAAGGAGCTTTAGAGGTGCATTACGTAAAGCTGCTCCATGGCTCCACTAATCCCCCTCCACCCGTAAAAAGAGACGTTGTTGTTGTTAAATTTTTTAATGTTATTAATGTTGCTGTTCTGCTAATCTAAAATATGTGTATGTGTTATTCTTGTGGGTTTAGTTAGTGTTTACAAGTGGAGTAGCAGGTTAAAAGTGACAGTATCTCCTTCTTCACCAAGATGCTACACTACTTATCATTATGACTGAAAAGCATTCATTCCCCCAAGTGCTGCACCAACAACCAACGGCTTTATTACATTGAATTAAAACTATCACTCTAAGACTCTATGTTTGGCTTTAGGTCCTGTTGTGCTGTTTGTTATGAAGAAAACTATTTACTCACAGAAACAACCAAAATCGAGTGGAGAATTAATGCTGTGTTCACGTTTGCATTGAAAAAGTATATTTCTGCACATCATAGTAGTATGCAGTCCATGGGCACCATGAATCTGCACAAACATTGCTATTACAACATTGTTAACAACTAAAATGGCTGATTTTTAGAGGAAAGCTTTAGCAACATAGACTGTTTAAGCTGGGAAAGGGCAGGATAACGCTCTCTTATTTTTGATGTACAATACTGAGCTTGTCTGTTATTCAACAATGAAAAGTTTGGCATCCATGACTCCCAGAAAAAAATTGACATCTGGTTTATTCCATAGCTGTAGTCGACAGCAAAAGTTGGAAAAACTTCTTACAGCTGCGGCCTGTGGCTTCTTTGAAAATAATGTAATATCTGGTCTGTCTAAATCTGTCTACCACAAATAGGTAAACACAGTATTAGTGTCCATATGCCTGCATGACACACATGCACACGAAAGGTAATCAGAATTCTGCACAATACTGACAAATTTTCCTCAACAGCTTCTATCACTAAAGATGAAAACATTGGACAGCAAACATGTTTTGGCTAGTGATCTAGAATAAGGGTAATGGGAAAATTGTATAAATTTGATTGTTTTGCGAACTCTTCCTGTAAATGGCCTATATGTTTTAAATGCAATTATTTTAAACACAATCTTGTTTGGGCATGTGATCATAATATTGTTACATTTGTGCTGCCATTTCTATGCCCACAATTCAATGCCTCGCTTTCTTAGCCATGTTTGTTACTTAAAAGCCCCATAGTCATAAGAGGAACAGCTGAATAATAAGCAAACAGTGCGTAACACCTAGAACTCACCCCAGTTTCTGCAGTTTACAGCCCTGATTGTTCAGTAGAGAACAGATCTGCTTCACTCCAGAGTTTCCTAGTTTATTCTCACTCAGATCCAGCTCTATCAGGTGTGAAGGATTTGAACAAAGAGCGGATGATAGAGCAGCACAGCCTTCCTCTGTAATACTGCACTTATTCATCCTGCAAACAGAGAGTGATGGTAGAGAAAAGTTATAATTATTTTTAAATGAAATTAAAATTCGGGTTGTGTACATAATGAAATATTATATTCTGTACAAAAAAAATCTACATAATAGAACAGTGCAGAAAATAGTATTTGTTCAGCCTGCAAAGAGATTGATCTTTTTTTTTCAAATTTGTTTCATCTTAAATTTGTATTGTCACCTGCAAAGAAACTGTAACAGTACAGAATGTATACCACTACAATACACATATTAAAGACTTCATATTTCTATGTAAAAGTGACAACTTAAAATGCAAACGCTTTAAACTACACACTTCATTTTCTGAGTTCTGCAGTGTGAATCCTCCAGTAGATCAGAGATCTTTTTCAATTCTGAATCTCCTTGTATTTTCCCACTCAGATCCAGCTCTCTCAGCAGTAAGGGTTTTATTCCTAGAACTTTAGTCAGAGAATCACAGATTTCCTCTGCAGCAGAACTGCTCAACAACCTGGAAATACAAAATTCTCATTTACAATTGTGACATCATGCACAATGCATTAAAAAAATAAATGTTAAGTATAAATAAATAATTGTTAGGTATTAATAAATAAAAAAAAATCTGGAAAAAAAATAACGTGGGAAGTTTTGTTGTTAAATACATTTACATATTTATGAGTTCTAAAATTAATTTGTGCATTGTTGTTATGTAGAAATTTCTCACCTCATTGTTTTCAGTTTACAGTTTAGATCTTCAAGTAGATCAGTGAGATTCTTCACTCCTGTATCTCCAGGATCGTTACCTCTGAAATCCAGCTCTATCAGGTGTGATGAGGGGTTTGATTTCAGAACTGAAGCCAGAGCAGCATATCCTTCCTCTGATATAAGGCAAAATGAAAGACTGGAGAAAAAGTATGTTAGAATTAAGAAAGAATTACATAGGTGTGATAGAAAACTGATTTTTTTAAACCCACAGTTAAAAAAGTATTTAAGTATTAATAGTTTTTCTTAGTGTGTAACAACTATAACTCACCTAAGTTTCTGTAGTTTACAGCACTGATTGTTCAGTAGAGAACAGATTTGCTTCACTCCAGAGTTTCCTAGTTTATTCTCACTCAGATCCAGCTCTATCAAGTGTGAAGGATTTGAACAAAGAGCTGATAAGAGAGCAGCACAGCCTTCCTCTGTAATACTGCTCTTGTTTATCCTGCAGACAGACAGAAATGGTGGAGATAAGAAAATTTTAACTTTAAAAGACTTCACTCTTAAAAATATGTGCAGTAAATTTTTTGTTAAATTAAGTAGAATTCAGATTCCCTTAATGGGATCTTTTCTGCATTTCCAGGTGTTCCCTTTCCTTTAGTGTGTTATGCAGCTTATTGTGCATGTAACTGGTCTGCCAATTCACAAAGCCCAAAGTTCCCTCCAGAGGAAGAAACTCTCTCCCACAAAAAATACTTTTCTCAGCTATCTGAAATGCCTCACTGGAATTCCAGTTCTTTTCCTTTGTTACAAGATGATGCAGTCTTGTAACAAAATCCTTACTGCCTGTCTACCGGCAAGCTTAGCACACCCTCACGCAAGAGAGCTACAAAGTAAAAACATCCTGTCTGACGTCTGAAACTTCTTGTTAGCCTCTACCAACTTCTTCTACTTGACTTTCAGGATCAGACTCTTGCTCATACCAATACAGCAGAACCAACGCCATTGTAAGATTAGCTACAGCAGTGTAGGGGCAGAATTGTAGCAGGATGCTGCAACGTTATGTAACTTGCAAGTGACAAAAGACCATTGCATAATAGGCAATTAATTTGTAAGTTTTATTTAAAGCAATATTTTAAAACCTAAATACATTAAACTACATACTTCAGTAACTGAATCCTGCAGTGTGAATCCTCCAGTAGATCAGAAATCTTCTTCAGTTCCGAATCTCCTTGTATTTTCCCACTCAGATCCAGCTCTCTCAGCAGTAATGGGTTTATTCCTAGAACTTTAGTCAGACAACCACAGGCTTCCTCTGCAATTGAATTGTTTAACAACCTGTAGACGAAGCAACACAGATTCATTTTTCTCGTAATGGTTATTAGTAATAATAATGATTCATTTACCTATTTTTTTCCAAAAGTGTAAGTAAAGGCCAACTTTAGTGAAATATGAAATGTGAAAGAAACTGATGTTTCAAAAATGAATTAAAATTTTAAAATAGCACTCCGAATTTTAAACATAGCTTCATTTCCTAAATAATAAATGCTAAATGGGATAAAAAAAAATATCTAGAACCAAGCAGTTGGGCTGTTATTAGAGACAGACTTCCTGATAACAGCTCAGATCTGAACAAGAATAAATGAAACAAAATTAACTTTAAAACTCTAAGCCATGCATTTAACATATAAACAAATGGTTCAATAAGCACTAAATCAGAACTTTAGAAATATTTTTCTCAGAGTGATTTTATTACAAAAATCCTGACTATCGTCGAAGTGATTTCTACATCAATAAGTGTACTACAAATGTTCGGTAAAATAAATATGTTATTGGAATTTACAAGCTCACAATATCTACATTTCTTAAACTATCTACCTCAGTTTCTTCAGGTTACTGTCTGGATCATCTAGTAGATCAATGAGCTTCTTCACTCCTGTATCTCCAGGATCGTTCCCACTGAGATCCAGCTCTATCAGGTGTGATGAGGGGCTTGATTTCAAAGCTGATGCCAGAGCAGCATATCCATCCTCTATTACACTACAGAATGAAAGACTATACAGCACAGAAAAAGTGCACTTTAGCATCAAAACAAAACTAAAAAAAAGTACATATGAAGCACATTAAATCCTACTGAATAATAGTTTGATTTAACAAAGAGTGAGAAAGTCCTCAAAACAAGTAGGCCTCTGCATCACATGACCAAACATGTCAAAACTCATGAGACCCAATTTCTGCTTTAGGTCTTCTGAGCTGATCAGAACTTCATACTGTATTTCCATCAATGAACATCTCAATAGCTAAGGCTTCATAACTACAAATATATGAAAACAGCAAAATAAAATCTGATAAACAATAATCAGTGTCAGTATGAACTTTCAACCTATTCTGATACAGAGCTCAGGAATATAAATGATCTCACTGTAGCTTCTGTAGCACAGATTTAGGATTCTTCAACATTTCACAGAGCTTCATCACTCCAGAGCTTCCTATTTTATTCTCACTCAGATCCAGCTCTATTAGGTGTGAAGGATTTGAACAAAGAGCTGATGATAGAGCAGCACAGCCTTCCTCTGTAATACTGCTCTTATTCAGCCTGCAGACAGAGAGAAATGGAGAAGAAATTATTAATAACATTATGTAAAATGGAACAATGCCAGAAAAAGTGGAAATTTGCATATGACTCGTAACATACACATGAATACAGTTTATTTAAAAAATATATATAATATATAAAATACTGAATGCATTTTAGATGCATATGAAAAAATTATACTACAGACTTCAGTATCTGAGGTCTGCAGTGTGAATCCTCTAGTAGATCAGAGATCTTCATTATTTCTAAATCTCCTTGTATTTTCCCACTCAGATCCAGCTCTTTCAGCAGTAAGGGGTTTGTGCCTAAAGCTTTAGTCAGAGATTTACAGGCTTCCTCTGCAGTAGAACTGTTTAACAGCCTGAAATGACAGATAAAATTATTACTTTTTCAAAACCATGTCATGTCATGCGTAATGAAATTTACAAATTCTTATTTTAACAATGTTTTGTAAAGTATTGTAAAGTAGAAATTTCTCACTTAATTGTCTTCAGTTCACAGTTTCCATCCTCTAGTAAATCAGTCAGATTCTTCACTCCTGTTTCTCCAGGATCGTTCCCTCTCAGATCCAGCTCTATCAGGTGTGATGAGGGGTTTGATTTCAGAGCTGATGCTAGGATACCATATCCTTCCTCTGTTATACTGCACCATGAAAGACTTCAAAGAGAACATATGTTAGCAGTGTTATAAATACATGATAAAGTTTCTTTTTATTTTTAAATGCCATTTATTTGATCTGTGAAATCACTGTGAAGACATTTAAGTATTTCTTTATTCCTTTTTAGTGTGTATCAATTAGAACTCACCCCAGTCTCAGCAGTTTACAGCAATGATTGTTCAGTAGAGTACAGATCTGATTCATTCCAGAGTTTCCTAGTTTATTCTCACTCAGATCCAGCTCTAACAGGTGTGAAGGATTTGAACAAAGAGCTGAAAATAGAGCAGCACAGCCTTCCTCTGTAATACTGCATTTATTCATGCTGCAGACAGAGAGACATGATGGAGAAACGTTAATTTACGGAAACTTCACTCATGAAAGTGACTAAAGTAAATGTATTTTTAAATTAACCCTGTGTAATCCACATATGACAAAATAACAATTCATACTAAACTTTTCACCTTTCCTATTATTATTATTATTATGATTATTTTATTTTTAAAACAACAAATTAAAATCCAAATGGAGTTAGTTCATACAGAAGTTTGTTAAGTCTGCAGTGTGAATCCTCCAGTAGATTAGAGATCTTCTTTATTCCTGAATCTCCTTGTATTTTCCCACTCAGATCCAGCTCTTTCAGCAATAAGGGGTTTATTCCTAGAACTTTAGTCAGAGAATCACAGGCTTCCTCAGCAGTAGAATTCTTCAATAGCCTGTAGACAAAGCAACACAGACACATAATTCTGATAATTATTATTAATAATAAGAATGATTTATTTACTCATTTATGTCCAAGAGTGTAAGGGAATGTATTTTTTAGTTAAATATTACAGTATAGAAGAAATTCATGATTGAAAAACAAATTAAAGTTTTAAAACAACATTCTGCATTTTTAAAATTGCTAATTGTTAGATAGAAAATATCTAGAACCAAGCAGTGAGCCCTTTATTAGAGACAGACCTCCTGATAATACCTCAGAGGTGAAGGTAAGAATATATGAAACAAAACTAACTTTAAAACTCTAAGCCATGCATTTAACATATAAACAAATTGTTCAATAAGCGCTAAATAAGAACATTAGAAATATTTTTCTCAGAGTGATTTTATTACAAAAATCCTGACTGTTCTAGAAGTGATTACTACATCAATAAATGTACTACAAATGTTTTGTAAAGTAAATGTTACTGAAATTACATACATCTTACAACATCTACATTTCTTAAACTATCTACCTCAGTTTCTTCAGGTTACTGTTTGGATCATCTAGTAGATCAATGAGCTTCTTCACTCCTGTATCTCCAGGATTGTTCCCACTGAGATCCAGCTCTATCAGGTGTGATGAGGGGTTTGACTTCAAAGCTGATGCCAGAGCAGCATATCCTTCCTCTGTTATACTGCAGAATGAAAGTCTAGACAGCAGAGAAAATGTGAACTTTAGCATCAGAACAAGACTAAAAGAAAGTGCACATGAAGCAAAACATTGAAGCAAATAAAATCCTACTGAATAACAAATTAAGTTCTTGTAGAGTCAGGAAGTCCTTCACACAAGTAGGCCTCTGCATCACATGATCAACCATGTCAAAAATCGTGAGAGCCAATTTCTGCTTTAGATCTTCTGAGCTGTTCAGAACTTCATACTTTATTTCTATCATGGAAAATGCTGATATAATTATATTACATTTGTTAATCTATGCTTGTGGGTGCACTTTCCTTCTACAGTGTCTTTTACACAAAAAGCTCAATAGCTAAGGCTTCATGAATACAAATATATAAAAATAATAAAACAATAACGAATGTCAGTATGAACTTTCGGTCAATGCTGATACTGAGCTTAGGAATATAAATGATCTCACTGTAGCTTCTGTAGCACAAATTTAGGATTCTTCAACATTTCACAGATCTTCATCACTCCAGAGTTTCCTAGTTTATTCTCACTCAGACCCAACTCTATCAGGTGTGAAGGATTTGAACAAAGTGCTGATGATAGAACAGCACAGCCTTCCTCTGTAATACTGCTCTTATTCAGCCTGCAGAAAGAGAGGGATGGTAGACTAAAGTTAATGTCAAGAAACACTACTGTTAAAAATTACCAAAAGGAAAGTTATTTTTAAATTGGCACAGTGTAACCAATATGACAAAAATATCAAAGTATAATAATCATCTCACTTTTCATATTTTTTTAAAGAATAAATTGAAATTCAAACACAATTTGCTACATACAGAAGTTTGATAGGTCTGCAGTGTGAATCCTCCAGTAGATCAGAAATCTTCTTCAGTTCTGAATCTCCTTGCATTTTCCCACTCAGATCCAGCTCTGTCAGCAGTAAGGGGTTTATTCCTAGAACTTTAGTCAGACAACCACAGGCTTCCTCTGCAATTGAATTGTTTAACAACCTGTAGACAAAGCAACACAGATTCATTTTTCTCGTAATGGTTATTAGTAATAATAATGATTCATTTACCTATTTTTTTCCAAAAGTGTAAGTAAAGGCCAACTTTAGTGAAATATGAAATGTGAAAGAAACTGATGTTTCAAAAATGAATTAAAATTTTAAAATAACATTCCGAATTTTAAACATAGCTTCATTTCCTAAATAATAAATGCTAAATGGGATAAAAAAAATATCCAGAACCAAGCAGTTGGGCTGTTATTAGAGACAGACTTCCTGATAACAGCTCGGATCTGAACATAAGAATAAATGAAACAAAATTAACTTTAAAACTCTAAGCCATGCATTTAACATATAAACAAATGGTTCAATAAGCACTAAATCAGAACTTTAGAAATATTTTTCTCAGAGTGATTTTATTACAAAAATCCTGACTATTGTCGAAGTGATTTCTACATCAATAAGTGTACTACAAATGTTCGGTAAAATAAATATGTTATTGGAATTTACAAGCTCACAATATCTACATTTCTTAAACTATCTACCTCAGTTTCTTCAGGTTACTGTTTGGATCATCTAGTAGATCAATGAGCTTCTTCACTCCTGTATCTCCAGGATCGTTCCCACTGAGATCCAGCTCTATCAGGTGTGATGAGGGGTTTGACTTCAAAGCTGATGCCAGAGCAGCATATCCATCCTCTATTACACTACAGAATGAAAGACTATACAGCACAGAAAAAGTGTACTTTAGCATCAAAACAAGACTAAAAGAAAGTATATATGAACCACATTAAATCCTACTGAATAATAGCTTGATTTAACAAAAAGTGAGAAAGTCCTCAACACAAGTAGGCCTCTGCATCACATGACCAAACGTCAAAACTCATGAGACCCAATTTCTGCTTTAGGTCTTCTGAGCTGATCAGAACTTCATACTGTATTTCCATCAACGGAAATGTTGCTATAGTGATTTTATATTTAATAATCCATGCTTATGGGTGGACTTTGCTTCTACAGTGTCTTTCACATGAACATCTCAATAGCTAAAGCTTCATAACTACAAATATATAAAAACAGCAAAAAACAATCTGATAAACAATAAGGAGTGTCAGTATGAACTTGAGCTCAGGAATATAAATGATCTCACTGTAGCTTCTGTAGCACAGATTTAGGATTCTTCAACATTTCACAGAGCTTCATCACTCCAGAGCTTCCTATTTTATTCTCACTCAGATCCAGCTCTATCAGGTGTGAAGGATTTGAACAAAGAGCTGATGATAGAGCAGCACAGCCTTCCTCTGTAATACTGCTCTTATTCAGCCTACAGACAGAGAGAAATGGAGAAGAAGTTTTTAATAACATTATGTAAAATGGAACAATGCCAGAAAAAGTGGAAATTTGCATATGACTCGTAACATACACATGAATACAGTTTATTTAAAAAATATATATAATATATAAAATACTGAATGCATTTTAGATGCATATGAAAAAATTATACTACAGACTTCAGTATCTGAGTTCTGCAGTGTGAATCCTCTAGTAGATCAGAGATCTTCATTATTTCTAAATCTCCTTGTATTTTCCCACTCAGATCCAGCTCTTTCAGCAGTAAGGGGTTTGTGCCTAAAGCTTTAGTCAGAGATTTACAGGCTTCCTCTGCAGTAGAACTGTTTAACAGCCTGAAATGACAGATAAAATTATTACTTTTTCAAAACCATGTCATGTCATGCGTAATGAAATTTACAAATTCTTATTTTAACAATGTTTTGTAAAGTATTGTAAAGTAGAAATTTCTCACTTAATTGTCTTCAGTTCACAGTTTCCATCCTCTAGTAAATCAGTCAGATTCTTCACTCCTGTTTCTCCAGGATCGTTCCCTCTCAGATCCAGCTCTATCAGGTGTGATGAGGGGTTTGATTTCAGAGCTGATGCTAGGATACCATATCCTTCCTCTGTTATACTGCACCATGAAAGACTTCAAAGAGAACATATGTTAGCAGTGTTATAAATACATGATAAAGTTTCTTTTTATTTTTAAATGCCATTTATTTGATCTGTGAAATCACTGTGAAGACATTTAAGTATTTCTTTATTCCTTTTTAGTGTGTATCAATTAGAACTCACCCCAGTCTCAGCAGTTTACAGCAATGATTGTTCAGTAGAGTACAGATCTGATTCATTCCAGAGTTTCCTAGTTTATTCTCACTCAGATCCAGCTCTAACAGGTGTGAAGGATTTGAACAAAGAGCTGAAAATAGAGCAGCACAGCCTTCCTCTGTAATACTGCATTTATTCATGCTGCAGACAGAGAGACATGATGGAGAAACGTTAATTTACGGAAACTTCACTCATGAAAGTGACTAAAGTAAATGTATTTTTAAATTAACCCTGTGTAATCCACATATGACAAAATAACAATTCATACTAAACTTTTCACCTTTCCTATTATTATTATTATGATTATTTTATTTTTAAAACAACAAATTAAAATCCAAATGGAGTTAGTTCATACAGAAGTTTGTTAAGTCTGCAGTGTGAATCCTCCAGTAGATTAGAGATCTTCTTTATTCCTGAATCTCCTTGTATTTTCCCACTCAGATCCAGCTCTTTCAGCAATAAGGGGTTTATTCCTAGAACTTTAGTCAGAGAATCACAGGCTTCCTCAGCAGTAGAATTCTTCAATAGCCTGTAGACAAAGCAACACAGACACATAATTCTGATAATTATTATTAATAATAAGAATGATTTATTTACTCATTTATGTCCAAGAGTGTAAGGGAATGTATTTTTTAGTTAAATATTACAGTATAGAAGAAATTCATGATTGAAAAACAAATTAAAGTTTTAAAACAACATTCTGCATTTTTAAAATGGCTAATTGTTAGATAGAAAATATCTAGAACCAAGCAGTGAGCCCTTTATTAGAGACAGACCTCCTGATAATACCTCAGAGGTGAAGGTAAGAATATATGAAACAAAACTAACTTTAAAACTCTAAGCCATGCATTTAACATATAAACAAATTGTTCAATAAGCGCTAAATAAGAACATTAGAAATATTTTTCTCAGAGTGATTTTATTACAAAAATCCTGACTGTTCTAGAAGTGATTACTACATCAATAAATGTACTACAAATGTTTTGTAAAGTAAATGTTACTGAAATTACATACATCTTACAACATCTACATTTCTTAAACTATCTACCTCAGTTTCTTCAGGTTACTGTTTGGATCATCTAGTAGATCAATGAGCTTCTTCACTCCTGTATCTCCAGGATTGTTCCCACTGAGATCCAGCTCTATCAGGTGTGATGAGGGGTTTGACTTCAAAGCTGATGCCAGAGCAGCATATCCTTCCTCTGTTATACTGCAGAATGAAAGTCTAGACAGCAGAGAAAATGTGAACTTTAGCATCAAAACAAGACTAAAAGAAAGTGCACATGAAGCAAAACATTGAAGCAAATAAAATCCTACTGAATAACAAATTAAGTTCTTGTAGAGTCAGGAAGTCCTTCACACAAGTAGGCCTCTGCATCACATGATCAACCATGTCAAAAATCGTGAGAGCCAATTTCTGCTTTAGATCTTCTGAGCTGTTCAGAACTTCATACTTTATTTCTATCATGGAAAATGCTGATATAATTATATTACATTTGTTAATCTATGCTTGTGGGTGCACTTTCCTTCTACAGTGTCCTTTACACAAAAAGCTCAATAGCTAAGGCTTCATGAATACAAATATATAAAAATAATAAAACAATAACGAATGTCAGTATGAACTTTCGGTCAATGCTGATACTGAGCTTAGGAATATAAATGATCTCACTGTAGCTTCTGTAGCACAAATTTAGGATTCTTCAACATTTCACAGATCTTCATCACTCCAGAGTTTCCTAGTTTATTCTCACTCAGACCCAACTCTATCAGGTGTGAAGGATTTGAACAAAGTGCTGATGATAGAACAGCACAGCCTTCCTCTGTAATACTGCTCTTATTCAGCCTGCAGAAAGAGAGGGATGGTAGACTAAAGTTAATGTCAAGAAACACTACTGTTAAAAATTACCAAAAGGAAAGTTATTTTTAAATTGGCACAGTGTAACCAATATGACAAAAATATCAAAGTATAATAATCATCTCACTTTTCATATTTTTTTAAAGAATAAATTGAAATTCAAACACAATTTGCTACATACAGAAGTTTGATAGGTCTGCAGTGTGAATCCTCCAGTAGATCAGAAATCTTCTTCAGTTCTGAATCTCCTTGCATTTTCCCACTCAGATCCAGCTCTGTCAGCAGTAAGGGGTTTATTCCTAGAACTTTAGTCAGACAACCACAGGCTTCCTCTGCAATTGAATTGTTTAACAACCTGTAGACGAAGCAACACAGATTCATTTTTCTCGTAATGGTTATTAGTAATAATAATGATTCATTTACCTATTTTTTTCCAAAATTGTAAGTAAAGGCCAACTTTAGTGAAATATGAAATGTGAAAGAAACTGATGTTTCAAAAATGAATTAAAATTTTAAAATAACATTCCGAATTTTAAACATAGCTTCATTTCCTAAATAATAAATGCTAAATGGGATAAAAAAAATATCCAGAACCAAGCAGTTGGGCTGTTATTAGAGACAGACTTCCTGATAACAGCTCGGATCTGAACATAAGAATAAATGAAACAAAATTAACTTTAAAACTCTAAGCCATGCATTTAACATATAAACAAATGGTTCAATAAGCACTAAATCAGAACTTTAGAAATATTTTTCTCAGAGTGATTTTATTACAAAAATCCTGACTATTGTCGAAGTGATTTCTACATCAATAAGTGTACTACAAATGTTCGGTAAAATAAATATGTTATTGGAATTTACAAGCTCACAATATCTACATTTCTTAAACTATCTACCTCAGTTTCTTCAGGTTACTGTTTGGATCATCTAGTAGATCAATGAGCTTCTTCACTCCTGTATCTCCAGGATCGTTCCCACTGAGATCCAGCTCTATCAGGTGTGATGAGGGGTTTGACTTCAAAGCTGATGCCAGAGCAGCATATCCATCCTCTATTACACTACAGAATGAAAGACTATACAGCACAGAAAAAGTGTACTTTAGCATCAAAACAAGACTAAAAGAAAGTATATATGAACCACATTAAATCCTACTGAATAATAGCTTGATTTAACAAAAAGTGAGAAAGTCCTCAACACAAGTAGGCCTCTGCATCACATGACCAAACGTCAAAACTCATGAGACCCAATTTCTGCTTTAGGTCTTCTGAGCTGATCAGAACTTCACACTGTATTTCCATCAACAGAAATGTTGCTATAGTGATTTTATATTTAATAATCCATGCTTATGGGTGGACTTTCCTTCTACAGTGTCTTTCACATGAACATCTCAATAGCTAAAGCTTCATAACTACAAATATATAAAAACAGCAAAAAACAATCTGATAAACAATAAGGAGTGTCAGTATGAACTTGAGCTCAGGAATATAAATGATCTCACTGTAGCTTCTGTAGCACAGATTTAGGATTCTTCAACATTTCACAGAGCTTCATCACTCCAGAGCTTCCTATTTTATTCTCACTCAGATCCAGCTCTATCAGGTGTGAAGGATTTGAACAAAGAGCTGATGATAGAGCAGCACAGCCTTCCTCTGTAATACTGCTCTTATTCAGCCTGCAGACAGAGAGAAATGGAGAAGAAATTTTTAATAACATTATGTAAAATGGAACAATGCCAGAAAAAGTGGAAATTTGCATACGACTCGTAACATACACATGAATACAGTTTATTTAAAAATATATATATAATATATAAAATACTGAATGCATTTTAGATGCATATGAAAAAATTATACTACAGACTTCAGTATCTGAGTTCTGCAGTGTGAATCCTCTAGTAGATCAGAGATCTTCATTATTTCTAAATCCCCTTGTATTTTCCCACTCAGATCCAGCTCTCTCAGCAGTAAGGGGTTTGTGCCTAAAGCTTTAGTCAGAGATTTACAGGCTTCCTCTGCAGTAGAACTGTTTAACAGCCTGAAATGACAGATAAAATTATTACTTTTTCAAAACCATGTCATGTCATGCGTAATGAAATTTACAAATTCTTATTTTAACAATGTTTTGTAAAGTATTGTAAAGTAGAAATTTCTCACTTAATTGTCTTCAGTTCACAGTTTCCATCCTCTAGTAAATCAGTCAGATTCTTCACTCCTGTTTCTCCAGGATCGTTCCCTCTCAGATCCAGCTCTATCAGGTGTGATGAGGGGTTTGATTTCAGAGCTGATGCTAGGATACCATATCCTTCCTCTGTTATACTGCACCATGAAAGACTTCAAAGAGAACATATGTTAGCAGTGTTATAAATACATGATAAAGTTTCTTTTTATTTTTAAATGCCATTTATTTGATCTGTGAAATCACTGTGAAGACATTTAAGTATTTCTTTATTCCTTTTTAGTGTGTATCAATTAGAACTCACCCCAGTCTCAGCAGTTTACAGCAATGATTGTTCAGTAGAGTACAGATCTGATTCATTCCAGAGTTTCCTAGTTTATTCTCACTCAGATCCAGCTCTAACAGGTGTGAAGGATTTGAACAAAGAGCTGAAAATAGAGCAGCACAGCCTTCCTCTGTAATACTGCATTTATTCATGCTGCAGACAGAGAGACATGATGGAGAAACGTTAATTTACGGAAACTTCACTCATGAAAGTGACTAAAGTAAATGTATTTTTAAATTAACCCTGTGTAATCCACATATGACAAAATAACAATTCATACTAAACTTTTCACCTTTCCTATTATTATTATTATTATTATTATTATTTTATTTTTAAAACAACAAATTAAAATCCAAATGGAGTTAGTTCATACAGAAGTTTGTTAAGTCTGCAGTGTGAATCCTCCAGTAGATTAGAGATCTTCTTTATTCCTGAATCTCCTTGTATTTTCCCACTCAGATCCAGCTCTTTCAGCAATAAGGGGTTTATTCCTAGAACTTTAGTCAGAGAATCACAGGCTTCCTCAGCAGTAGAATTCTTCAATAGCCTGTAGACAAAGCAACACAGACACATAATTCTGATAATTATTATTAATAATAAGAATGATTTATTTACTTATTTATGTCCAAGAGTGTAAGGGAATGTATTTTTTAGTTAAATATTACAGTATAGAAGAAATTCATGATTGAAAAACAAATTAAAGTTTTAAAACAACATTCTGAATTTTTAAAATTGCTAATTGTTAGATAGAAAATATCTAGAACCAAGCAGTGCGCCCTTTATTAGAGACAGACCTCCTGATAATACCTCAGAGGTGAAGGTAAGAATATATGAAACAAAACTAACTTTAAAACTCTAAGCCATGCATTTAACATATAAACAAATTGTTCAATAAGCGCTAAATAAGAACATTAGAAATATTTTTCTCAGAGTGATTTTATTACAAAAATCCTGACTGTTCTAGAAGTGATTACTACATCAATAAATGTACTACAAATGTTTTGTAAAGTAAATGTTACTGAAATTACATACATCTTACAACATCTACATTTCTTAAACTATCTACCTCAGTTTCTTCAGGTTACTGTTTGGATCATCTAGTAGATCAATGAGCTTCTTCACTCCTGTATCTCCAGGATTGTTCCCACTGAGATCCAGCTCTGTCAGGTGTGATGAGGGGTTTGACTTCAAAGCTGATGCCAGAGCAGCATATCCTTCCTCTGTTATACTGCAGAATGAAAGTCTAGACAGCAGAGAAAATGTGAACTTTAGCATCAGAACAAGACTAAAAGAAAGTGCACATGAAGCAAAACATTGAAGCAAATAAAATCCTACTGAATAACAAATTAAGTTCTTGTAGAGTCAGGAAGTCCTTCACACAAGTAGGCCTCTGCATCACATGATCAACCATGTCAAAAATCGTGAGAGCCAATTTCTGCTTTAGATCTTCTGAGCTGTTCAGAACTTCATACTTTATTTCTATCATGGAAAATGCTGATATAATTATATTACATTTGTTAATCTATGCTTATGGGTGCACTTTCCTTCTACAGTGTCTTTTACACAAAAAGCTCAATAGCTAAGGCTTCATGAATACAAATATATAAAAATAATAAAACAATAATGAATGTCAGTATGAACTTTCGGTCAATGCTGATACTGAGCTTAGGAATATAAATGATCTCACTGTAGCTTCTGTAGCACAAATGTAGGATTCTTCAACATTTCACAGATCTTCTTCACTCCAGAGTTTCCTAGTTTATTCTCACTCAGATCCAGCTCTATCAGGTGTGAAGGATTTGAACAAAGTGCTGATGATAGAACAGCACAGCCTTCCTCTGTAATACTGCTCTTATTCAGCCTGCAGAAAGAGAGGGATGGTAGACTAAAGTTAATGTCAAGAAACACTACTGTTAAAAATTACCAAAAGGAAAGTTATTTTTAAATTTGCACAGTGTAACCAATATGACAAAAATATCAAAGTATAATAATCATTTAACTTTTCATATTTTTTTAAAGAATAAATTGAAATTCAAACACAATTTGCTACATACAGAAGTTTGATAGGTCTGCAGTGTGAATCCTCCAGTAGATCAGAAATCTTCTTCAGTTCTGAATCTCCTTGCATTTTTCCACTCAGATCCAGCTCTGTCAGCAGTAAGGGGTTTATTCCTAGAACTTTAGTCAGACAACCACAGGCTTCCTCTGCAATTGAATTGTTTAACAACCTGTAGACGAAGCAACACAGATTCATTTTTCTCGTAATGGTTATTAGTAATAATGATTCAATTACCTATTATTTTCCAAAAGTGTAAGTAAAGGCCAACTTTAGTGAAATATGAAATGTGAAAGAAACTGATGTTTCAAAAATGAATTAAAATTTTAAAATAGCATTCCAAATTTTAAACATAGCTTCATTTCTTAAATAATAAATGCTAAAAAAAAAATATCCAGAACCAAGCAGTTGGGCTGTTATTAGAGACAGACTTCCTGATAACAGCTCGGATCTGAACATAAGAATAAATGAAACAAAATTAACTTTAAAACTCTAAGCCATGCATTTAACATATAAACAAATGGTTCAATAAGCACTAAATCAGAACTTTAGAAATATTTTTCTCAGAGTGATTTTATTACAAAAATCCTGACTATTGTCGAAGTGATTTCTACATCAATAAGTGTACTACAAATGTTCGGTAAAATAAATATGTTATTGGAATTTACAAGCTCACAATATCTACATTTCTTAAACTATCTACCTCAGTTTCTTCAGGTTACTGTTTGGATCATCTAGTAGATCAATGAGCTTCTTCACTCCTGTATCTCCAGGATCGTTCCCACTGAGATCCAGCTCTATCAGGTGTGATGAGGGGTTTGACTTCAAAGCTGATGCCAGAGCAGCATATCCATCCTCTATTACACTACAGAATGAAAGACTATACAGCACAGAAAAAGTGTACTTTAGCATCAAAACAAGACTAAAAGAAAGTATATATGAACCACATTAAATCCTACTGAATAATAGTTTGATTTAACAAAAAGTGAGAAAGTCCTCAACACAAGTAGGCCTCTGCATCACATGACCAAACGTCAAAACTCATGAGACCCAATTTCTGCTTTAGGTCTTCTGAGCTGATCAGAACTTCATACTGTATTTCCATCAACGAAAATGTTGCTATAGTGATTTTATATTTAATAATCCATGCTTATGGGTGGACTTTCCTTCTACAGTGTCTTTCACATGAACATCTCAATAGCTAAAACTTCATAACTACAAATATATAAAAACAGCAAAAAACAATCTGATAAACAATAATGAGTGTCAGTATGAACTTGAGCTCAGGAATATAAATGATCTCACTGTAGCTTCCGTAGCACAGATTTAGGATTCTTCAACATTTCACAGAGCTTCATCACTCCAGAGCTTCCTATTTTATTCTCACTCAGATCCAGCTCTATCAGGTGTGAAGGATTTGAACAAAGAGCTGATGATACAGCAGCACAGCCTTCCTCTGTAATACTGCTCTTATTCAGCCTGCAGACAGAGAGAAATGGAGAAGAAATTATTAATAACATTATGTAAAATGGAACAATGCCAGAAAAAGTGGAAATTTGCATATGTCTCATAACATACACATAAATACAGTTTATTAAAAAAAAATACATATCTGTTATATGCTGGCAATAGTATTCTAAAATGATTTTAATATGAGTCTGGTGGAGGTAAAAGGAACTAACATTAATATATGAAATACTGAATGCATTTTAGATGCATATGAAAACATTATACTACATACTTCAGTATCTGAGTTCTGCAGTGTGAATCCTCTAGTAGATCAGAGATCTTCATTATTTCTAAATCTCCTTGTATTTTCCCACTCAGATCCAGCTCTTTCAGCAGTAAGGGGTTTGTGCCTAAAGCCTTAGTCAGAGATTTACAGGCTTCCTCTGCAGTAGAACTGTTTAGCAGCCTGAAATGACAGATAAAATTATTATTCTTTCAAAACTATGTCATGTCATGCACAATGAAATTTGCAAATTCTTATTTTAACAATGTTTTGTAAAGTATTGTAAAGTAGAAATTTCTCACTTAATTGTCTTCAATTCACAGTTTCCATCCTCTAGTAAATCAGTCAGATTCTTCACTCCTGTTTCTCCAGGATTGTTCCCTCTCAGATCCAGCTCTATCAGGTGTGATGAGGGGTTTGATTTCAGAGCTGATGCTAGGATACCATATCCTTCCTCTGTTATACTGCACCATGAAAGACTTCAAGGAAAACATTAGTTAGCAGTTTTATAATTCAATGATAAAGTTTCTTTTTATTTTTATATGTCATTTATTTGATCTGTGAACCCACTATTAAGATATTTAGGTATTTCTTTATTCCTTTTTAGTGTATATCAATTAGAACTTACCCCAGTCTCAGCAGTTTACAGCGATGATTGTTCAGTAGAGTACAGATCTGATTCACTCCAGAGTTTCCTAGTTTATTCTCACTCAGATCCAGCTCTAACAGGTGTGAAGGATTTGAACAAAGAGCTGAGGATAGAGCAGCACAGCCTTTCTCTGTAATACTGCACTTATTCATCCTGCAGACAGAGAGACATGATGGAGAAACATTAATTTAAGGAAACCTCACTCATGAAAGTGACTAAAGTAAATGTATTTTTAAATTAATCCTGTGTAATCCACATATAACAAAATAACAATTCATACTAAACTTTTCACCTTTCCTATTATTATTATTATTATTATTATTATTATTATTATTATTATTTTATTTTTAAAACAACAAATTAAAATCCAAATGGAGTTAGTTCATACAGAAGTTTGTTAGGTCTGCAGTGTGAATCCTTCAGTAGATAAGAGATCTTCTTTATTCCTGAATCTCCTTGTATTTTCCCACTCAGATCCAGCTCTTTCAGCAATAAGGGGTTTATTCCTAGAACTTTAGTCAGAGAATCACAGGCTTGCTCAGCAGTAGAATTCTTCAATAGCCTGTAGACAAAGCAACACAGACACATAATTCTGAAAATTGTTATTAATAATAAGAATGATTTATTTACTTATTTATGTCCAAGAGTGTAAAAGAATGTATTTTTTGTTAAATATTACAGTATAGAAGAAATTGCTGATTGAAAAACAAATTAAAGTTTTAAAACAACATTCTGAATTTTTTAAATTGCTAATTGTTAGATAGAATATATCAAGAACCAAGCAGTGAGCACTTTATTAGAGACAGACCTCCAGATAATACTTCAGATGTGAAGACAAGAATATATGAAACAAAACTAACTTTAAAACTCTAAGCCATGCATTTAACATATAAACAAATTGTTCAGTAAGTGCTAAATAAGAACATTAGAAATATTTTTCTCAGAGTGATTTTATTACAAACATCCTGACTGTTCTAGAAGTGATTTCTACATCAGTAAATGTACTACAAATGTTCTGTAAAATAAATATTTTACTGGAATTTACAAGCTCACAATATCTACATTTCTTAAACTATCTACCTCAGTTCCTTCAGGTTACTGTTTGGATCATCTAGTAGATCAGTGAGCTTCTTCACTCCTGTATCTCCAGGATCATTTCCACTGAGATCCAGCTCTATCAGGTGTGATGAGGGGTTTGATTTCAAAGCTATTGCCAGATCAGCATATCCTTTCTTTGTTATACTGCAGGATGAAAGTCTAGACAGCAGAGAAAAGGTGCACTTTAGCATGAAAATAAAACTAGATGAAAGTACATATGAAGCATATAAAATCCAACTGAATAATAATTTAATTTAATGCAGAGATAGGAAGTCCCAACACATGAAGTCCTCTGCATCATATGACCAACCATGTCAAAAATCATGAGAGACAATTTCTGCTTTAGATCTTCTCAGCTGTTCAGAACTTCATACTGTATTTCTATCATGGAAAATGCTGATATAATTATTTTATATTTATGTCTTTATGCTTGTGGGTGCATTGTCCTTATATAGTGTGTTTTACACAAAAAGCTCAATAGCTAAGGCTTCATGAATACAAATTATAAAAATAATAAAAATAATCTGATAAACAATAATGAGTGTCAGTAGAAAAATTCACCATATGCTGATACCGAGCATAGGAATATAAATGATCTCACTCTAGCTTCTTTAGAACAGATATAGGATTCTTCAACATTTCACAGATCTTCTTCACTCCAGAGTTTCCTAGTTTATTCTCGCTCAGATCCAGCTCTCTCAGGTGTGAAGGATTTGAACAAAGAGCTGATGATAGAGCAGCACAGCCTTCCTTTGTAATACTGCACTTATTCAGCCTGCAGACAAAGAAGCATGGGGACAAAAGTTAATGTCAAGAAACATCACTGATAAAAATTACGAAATTAAAAGTTATTTTTAAATTAGCACAGTGTAACCAATATGACAAAAATATCAAAGTATAATAATCATTTCACTTTTCATATTTCTTTGAACAATATATTGAAATTAAAAACAAATAGCTATATACCGAAGTTTGTTAGGTCTGCAGTGTGAATCCTCCAGTAGATCAGAGATCTTCTTCATTTCTGAATCTCCTTGTATTTTCCCACTCAGATCCAGCTGTCTCAGCAGTAAGGGGTTTATTCCTAGAACTTTAGTCAGAGAATCACAGGCTTCCTCTGCAGTTGAACTCTTTAACAACCTGTAGACAAAGCACATAGATTCATTTTTCTAATAATGATTATTTTTAATATTAATAATTATCATTCATTTACCTTTATTTTCCAAAGGTGTAAGTAATTCCAACTTTAGTAAAACATTAAAATTTTGAAGATATTGATGATTGAAAAATAAAGCATTCTGCATTTTTAAAAGCTTATTTTTACAAAATAATGAATGCTAAATGGAATAAAAAAAAATCCAGAACCAAGTAGTGGGTCTTTCATTGGATACAGACCTCCTGATAACAGCTCAGATCTGACCATGAGAATATATGAAACAAAACTATCTTTAAAGGTCTAAGCTGTGCATTTAACATATAAATAAATGGCTCAATAAGCGCTAAATCAGAACTTTAGAAATATTTTTCTCAGAGTGATTTTATTACAAAAATCCTGACTGTTCTAGAAGTGATTTCTATATCAATGAATGTACTACAAATGTTCTGTAAAATGAATAATTTATTGAAAATTTACAAGCTCACAATATCTACATTTCTTAAACTATCTACCTCAGTTTCTTCAGGTTACTGTTTGGATCATCAAATAGATCAATGAGCATCTTCACTCCAGTATCTCCAGGATCGTTCCCACTGAGATCCAGCTCTATCAGGTGTGATGAGGAGTTTGATTTCAAAGCTACTGCCAAAGCAGCATATCCTTCCTCTGTTATACTGCAGAATGAAAGACTAGACACCAGAGAAAACTTCCACTTTAGCATCAAAACAAGACTAAAAGAAAATATAGATGAAGCACATAAAATCCTCCTGAATAATAATTTGATTTAATGAAGAGTTAGCACATTCTCAACACAAGTAGGCCTCTGCATCACATGACCAAACGTCAAAAATCATGAGAGCCAATTTCTGCTTTAGATCTTCTCAGCTGTTCAGAACTTCATACTGTATTTCCATCAACGAAAATATTGCTATAATTATTTTATATTTAATAATCCATGCTTATGGGTGTATTTCCTTCTACAGTGTTTTTCACACAAAAAGCTCAATAGCTAAGGCTTCATGAATACAAATATATAAAAACAACAAAAATAATCTGATAAACAATAATGAATGTCAGTATGAACTTTCGGTCAATGCTGATACTGAGCTTAGGAATATAAATGATCTCACTGTAGCTTCTCTAGCAGAGATTTAGGATTCTTCAACATTTCACAGATCTTCATCACTCCATCATATAATACTGGATTCTCACTCAGATCCAGCTCTATCAGGTGTGAAGGATTTGAACAAAGAGCTGATGATAGAACAGCACAGCCTTCCTCTGTAATACTGCTCTTATTCAGCCTGCAGACAGAGAGGGATGGTAGACTAAAGTTAATGTCAAGAAACATCAATGATAAAAATACCAAAAGGAAAGTTATTGTTAAATTAGCACAGTGTAAACCACATGACAAAAATATCAAATTATAATGATCATTTCACTTTTCAAATATTTTTTAAACGAATAAATTAAAATTCAAACACAATTTGCTACATACAAAAGTTTGATAGGTCTGCAGTGTGAATCCTCCAGTAGATCAGAAATCTTCTTCATTTCTGCATCTCCTTGTATTTTCCCACTCAGATCCAGCTCTCTCAGCAGTAAGGGGTTTATTCCTAGAACTTTAGTCAGACAACCACAGGCTTCCTCTGCAATGGAATTTTTTAACAACCTGTAGACAAAGCAACACAGATTCATTTTTTTTATAATGGTTATTAAAAATAATAATGATTCATTAACCTATTATTTTCCAAAAGAGTAAGCAAATGCCAACTTTAGTGAAATATTAAAATGTGAAAGAAAATGATGGTTCAGAAACTAATTAAAATTTTAAAATGGCATACTGAATTTTAAAAATAGCTTCATTTCCTAAATAATAAATGCTAAATGGGATAAAAAAAATATCCAGACCCAAGCAGTTGGGCGGTTATTAGAGACAGACCTCCTGATAACAGCTCAGATCTGAACATAAGAATAGATGAAACAAAACTAATTTTAAAGCTCTAAGCCATGCATTTAACATATAAACAAATGGTTCAGTAATCACTAAACCAGAACATTAGAAATATTTTTCTCAGAGTGATTTTATTACAAAAATCCTGACTATTCTAGAAGTGATTTCCACATCAATAAATGTACCACAAGTGTTCTGTAAAATAAATATTTTATTGAAATTTACAAGCTCACAACATCTACATTTCTTAAACTATCTACCTCAATTTCTTCAGGTTACTGTTTGGATCATCTAGTAGATCAATGAGCTTCTTCACTCCTGTATCTCCAGGATCATTCCCACTGAGGTCCAGCTCTATCAGGTGTGATGATGGGTTTGATTTCAAAGCTGATGCCAGAGCAGCATATCCTTCCTCTGTTATACTGCAGAATGAAAGACTAGACAGCAGACATAATTTGCACTTTAGCATCAAAACAAGACTAAAAGAAAATATAGATGAAGCACATAAAATCCTCCTGAATAATAATTTGATTTAATGAAGAGTTAGCACATTCTCAACACAAGTAGGCCTCTGCATCACATGACCAAACGTCAAAAATCATGAGAGCCAATTTCTGCTTTAGATCTTCTCAGCTGTTCAGAACTTCATACTGTATTTCCATCAACGAAAATATTGCTATAATTATTTTATATTTAATAATCCATGCTTATGGGTGTATTTCCTTCTACAGTGTTTTTCACACAAAAAGCTCAATAGCTAAGGCTTCATGAATACAAATATATAAAAACAACAAAAATAATCTGATAAACAATAATGAATGTCAGTATGAACTTTCGGTCAATGCTGATACTGAGCTTAGGAATATAAATGATCTCACTGTAGCTTCTCTAGCAGAGATTTAGGATTCTTCAACATTTCACAGATCTTCATCACTCCATCATATAATACTGGATTCTCACTCAGATCCAGCTCTATCAGGTGTGAAGGATTTGAACAAAGAGCTGATGATAGAACAGCACAGCCTTCCTCTGTAATACTGCTCCTATTCAGCCTGCAGACAGAGAGGAATGGTTAAGAAATTATTAATAACATTATGTAAAATGGAACAATGTCAGAAAAAGTGGAAATATGCATGTGAATCATAACACACACATGAATACAGTTTATTTTTAAAAAATTACATATCTGTTATCTGCTGGCAATAGTATTCTAAAATAATTTTAATTTTGATTATCTGGTGGAGATAAAAGGAACTGACAGTAATATATAAAATGTTGAAAATAGTTTTTAGATGCATATGAAAATTAATAAAATTAATAAAATTGTAATACATACTTCAGTCTCTGAGTTCTGCAGTGTGAATCCTCTAGTAGATCAGAGATCTTCTTCATTTCTGAATCTCCTTGTATTTTCCCACTCAGATCCAGCTCTCTCAGCAGTAAGGGGTTTATTCCTAGAACTTTAGTCAGAGAAACACAGGCTTCCTCTGCAGTAGAACTGTTTAGCAGCCTGAAATGACAGACAAAATTATTATTCTTTCAAAACCATGTCATATTATGCGCAATGAAATTTACAAATTCATATTTTAACAATGTTTTGTAAAGTATTTTAAAGTAGAAATTTCTCACTTAATTGTCTTTAGTTCACAGTTTCCATCCTCTAGTAAATCAGTGAGATTCTTCACTCCTGTTTCTCCAGGATCGTTCCCTCTCAGATCCAGCTCTATCAGGTGTGATGAGGGGTTTGATTTCAGAGCTGATGCTAGGATACCATATCCTTCCTCTGTTATACTGCACCATGAAAGACTTCAAGGAAAACATTAGTTAGCAGTTTTATAATTCAATGATAAAGTTTCTTTTTATTTTTATATGTCATTTATTTGATCTGTGAACCCACTATTAAGATATTTAGGTATTTCTTTATTCCTTTTTAGTGTATATCAATTAGAACTTACCCCAGTCTCAGCAGTTTACAGCGATGATTGTTCAGTAGAGTACAGATCTGATTCACTCCAGAGTTTCCTAGTTTATTCTCACTCAGATCAAGCTCTAACAGGTGTGAAGGATTTGAACAAAGAGCTGAAAATAGAGCAGCACAGCCTTCCTCTGTAATACTGCACTTATTCATCCTGCAGACAGAGAGACGTGATGGAGAAACATTAATTTAAGGAAACCTCATTCATGAAAGTGACTAAAGTAAATGTGTTTTTGTAATTAACCCTGTGTACTCCACATGTGACAAAATAACAATGCTAATAAACTTTTCACCTTTCCTATTATTATTATTATTTTATTTTTAAAACATCAATTTACAATCCAAATGGAGTTAGTTCATACATAAGTCTGTTAGGTCTGAAGTGTGAATCCTCCAGTAGATCAGAGATCTTCTTCATTTCTGCATCTCCTTGTATTTTCCCACTCAGATCCAGCTTTTTAAGCAATAAGGGGTTTATTCCTAGAGCTTTAGTCAGAGAATCACAGGCTTGCTCTGCAGTAGAACTCTTCAATAGCCTGTAGACAAAGCAACATAGACTCTTAATTCTGGAAAATATTATTAATAATAAGGATGATTTATTTACTTATTTATGTCCAATAGTTTAAGAAAATATTTTTTAGTTAAATATTACACTATAGAAGAAATTGATGGTTGAAAAACAAATTAAAGTTTTAAAACAACATTCTGATTTTTTTAAATTGCTAATTGTTGCAAAACACTAAATGCTGAAAGGGATAGAAAATATTCAGAACCAAGCAGTGGAACTTTCATTAGAGACAGACTTCCTCAAAATAGCTCAGATCTGAACATAAGAATATATGAAATAAAACTATCTTTAAAGCTTTAAGCCATGCATTTAATGTATAAATAAATGATTCAATAAGCACTTAACTGGAACTTTAGAAATATTTTTTTCAGAGTGATTTTATTACAAAAATCCTGACTGTTCTAGAAGTGATCAATAAAATACCTCAGTTTCTTCAGGTTACTGTTTGTATCATCAAGTAGATCAATGAGCTTCTTCACTCCTGTATCTCCAGGATTGTTCCCAATGAGATCCAGCTCTATCAGGTGTGATGAGGGGTTTGACTTCAAAGCTGATGCCAGAGCAGCATATCCTTCCTCTGTTATACTGCAGAATGAAAGTCTAGACAGCAGAGAAAATGTGAACTTTAGCATCAAAACAAGACTAAAAGAAAGTGTACATGAAGCAAAACATTGAAGCAAATAAAATCCTACTGAATAACAAATTAATTTATTGTAGAGTTAGGAAGTCCTTCACACAAGTAGGTTTCTGCATCACATGACCAACTATGTCAAAAATCGCGAGAGCCAATTTCTGCTTTCGAATTTCTGAGATATTCAGAACTTCATACTGTATTTCTATCACAAAAATTGCTGATATAATTATTTTACACTTGTTAATCTATGCTTGTGGGTGCATTTTCCTTCTACAGTGTCTTTTACACAAAAAGCTCAATAGCTAAAGCTTTATGAATACAAATAAATAAAAATAATAAAATAATCTGATAAACAATAATGAATGTCAGTATGAACTTTTAGCCTATGCTGATACTGAGCTTAGGAATATAAATGATCTCACTGTAGCTTCTGTAGCACAAATTTAGGATTCTTCAACATTTCACAGATCTTCATCACTCCAGAGTTTCCTAGTTTATTCTCACGCAGATCCAGCTCTATCAGGTGTGAAGGATTTGAACAAAGAGCTGATGATAGAGCAGCACAGCCTTCCTCTGTAATACTGCTCTTATTCAGCCTGCAGACAGAGAGGGATGGTAGACTAAAGTTAATGTCAAGAAACATCAATGATAAAAATACCAAAAGAAAAGTTATTGGTAAATTAGCACAGTGTAAACCACATGACAAAAATATCAAACTATAATAATCCTTTCACTTTTCATATTTTTTAAAGAATAAATTAAAATTCAAACACAATTTGCTACATACAGAAGTTTGATAGGTCTGCAGTGTGAATCCTCCAGTAGATCAGAAATCTTCTTCATTTCTGCATCTCCTTGTATTTTCCCACTCAGATCCAGCTCTCTCAGCAGTAAGGGGTTTATTCCTAGAACTTTAGTCAGAAAATGACAGGCTTCCTCTGCAATGGAATTTTTTAACAGCCTGTAGACAAAGCAACACAGATTCATTTTTTCCATAATGGTTATTAAAAATAATAATGATTCATTTACCTATTATTTTCCAAAAGGTAAGTAAATGCCAACTTTATTGAAATATTAAAATGTGAAAGAAAATGATGGTTCAGAAACTAATTAAAATTTTAAAATGGCATACTGAATTTTAAAAATAGCTTTATTTCCTAAAAAATAAATGCTAAATGGGATAAAAAAAATATCCAGACCCAAGCAGTTGGGCTGTTATTAGAGACAGACTTCCTGATAACAGCTCAGATCTGAACATGAGAATAAATGAAACAAAACTAACTTTAAAGCTCTAAGCCATGCATTTAACATATAAACAAATGGTTCAGTAATCACTAAACCAGAACATTAGATATATTTTTCTCAGAGTGATTTTATTACAAAAATCCTGACTATTCTAGAAGTCATATCTACATCAGTAAATGTACCACAAATGTTCTGTAAAATAAATATTTTATTGAAATTTACAAGCTCACAACATCTACATTTCTTAAATTATCTACCTCAGTTTCTTCAGGTTACTGTTTGGATCATCTAGTAGATCAATGAGCTTCTTTACTCCTGTATCTCCAGGATCATTCCCACTGAGGTCCAGCTCTATCAGGTGTGATGAGGGGTTTGATTTCAAAGCTGATGCCAGAGCAGCATATCCTTTCTCTGTTATACTGCAGAATGAAAGACTAGACAGCAGACAAAATTTGCACTTTAGCATCAAAACAAGACTAAAAGAAAGTATAGATGAAGCACATAAAATCCTCCTGAATAATAATTTGATTTAATGAAGAGTTAGCACGTTCTCAACACAAGTAGGTCTCTGCATCACATGACCAAACGTCAAAAATCATGAGAGCCAATTTCTGCTTTAGATCTTCTCAGCTGTTCAGAACTTCATACTGTATTTCCATCAACGAAAATATTGCTATAGTTATTTTATATTTAATAATCAATGCTTATGGGTGTATTTCCTTCTACAGTGTTTTTCACACAAAAAGCTCAATAGCTAAGGCTTCATTGCTACAAATATATAAAAACAGCAAAAATAATCTGATAAACAATAATGAATGTCAGTATGAACTTTCAGTCAATGCTGATACTGAGCTTAAGAATATAAATGATCTCACTGTAGCTTCTCTAGCACAGATTTAGGATTCTTCAACATTTCACAGAGCTTCATCACTCCATCGTTTAATACTGGATTCTCACTCAGATCCAGCTCTATCAGGTGTGAAGGATTTGAACAAAGAGCTGATGATAGAACAGCACAGCCTTCCTCTGTAATACTGCTCTTATTCAGCCTGCAGACAGAGAGGAATGGATAAGAAATTATTAATAACATTATGTAAAATGGAACAATGTCAGAAAA